GTGCATTAGTTAAAGCTCAACAAGCCCACAAATCACTTCCTCAAAAGAAGGGGTGAGTGAAGATCTACATCTGGAATAGGGGGGCAAGAAAAAGTTCTACAGTGAAACCAGGGAGGGGGGAAATAATGCCTGTGTACATATTGCTACTAAGTGCTTGGTGGTGGAAGGGCTCAGAATATGGTTATGTCCCAACCTCTGCACCTTACTGCAAAGTGAGGTCTAAAACAGGAATCAATGTGTTTGAACAAGCTAGGTCTTTGAGCCCCCTGTCAGGAGTGCTGGTGACCACTCTCACATACATGCTCTGTGGAATCAGTGCCCAGACAAGTCCTTCCAACAGCCGCCCAGAGTGGCTGGGGAAACTTAGCCAGATGGGCAGGGTATAAATAATACATTATTATTATTATTATTATTATTATTATTATTATTATTATTAACATTAGACATGATTCAACAAGACATGGTTTCTTGGACAGCAGATTGGAAAGGTCCGCTGGAATCCCAATCCATTCAGGCAAAAAGGCTGCCGAGGGCTTGAAGACCTTAAGGAAGGGAGAGTCTGGGAGGGTGTAGTTGGCCAAGTAGACGGTCTCCCCACCAGCCAGGTAGCCGGCCCAGAAGCCAAAAGTGCCAATTGTCATTATTGTGTGGTTGCAATGAGCAAGGAGAGCAAAATCCCTCCCTGGAGAGGACTCGCGCCCATCCCCAGAAAAATAAACATCCCCCCTGGAGGCATTGATGTTTTCCTTGCACCACTCCATCCCATTGCTGGTCACCACAAAGATGGGATTGGGGTACTTCTCTCTGAAATAGTTCATGGCTTTCTCCAAATATCCTCTGTCAGCCACCACACCTTTCCAGATCTTGGGCATCACATGGACATAATCTCCTCTGCGGACATGCACGCCAACATACGTCACCTCCTGGCACTGCCCCCTTAGCTTCTGAAGATATTGATTGGCTTCTTCCTTGATGTGGTCATGGAAGGAGAACTGCTGAAGTATCTCTTGGCGGATATGGTGATAAAAGGTGTAAGAACATGGGTAGCCCGTCAGCCGGACGTACTTGCCTTTGATGTGTTTATAACTCTCTGACATCCAGTCATGCAGACCAAAGTTCCTCCAGCTGATCTTTTTATCCACTTCAGCATGGAGCACAGGCAAAGTGATCCGGAATATTGGTGAGAGGTACTGGTGCATGGCAGGACAGATGTAGGCTTGATGTCCATTCATCTTGGCTAAGGCATAGAGGGTGGCATATTCCCCCATCTGGTTTCCCAAACGGCCATCAGATTTCACTGTCCATATACCACTATCCATTGTCTTAGAAGATGACCTGGAAGAAGTGGTGGTTGTGTTATAGTATGACTGAGAAGAAGTGGTGGTGGCCGTTAGGCAAGAAGGAGGTCCCATCCCTGGGAAACTGGGTGCATTCTTGAAGGTGATCCTCCACTGCTGATATGGTATTTTTTCAGACAAGTACCAGAATGTAGAGAGGGACAGGAGGCCAAAGAAGCAGAGGAAGAATAAGAGGGCAGGCTGGCTGAAGGAACATCTTTGTGAGAGATCCATACCTGCATAATAGGAACACCTAAAGGAAGAGCCAAGTAGGGTGAAAAGACAGGTAAGATCAACATGCAGAACACAACCAATGTTGTACATCAGCAGTGACATAGATGGCACTGTGACCCTTTATGCTATACATGTCCATAATATATATCAAGTTTAATTTTGAATTTATAAGCCTAAAAGCAACTACACAAATGCCTAGAAGGATACTTCAAGTAAAGCCAACCTTTGCACTGTGCAAATCCTTTTCTTCACTTATGTAGTCTAACCTTGTTTCTGGAAATTTGTGCATTTTTACATTACATCAACTTTGTCTGTAAATTAATTGTTGCTAATTACTTGAAATTAGTCTTTCGGTCTAAATTTTTTTTAATGTATTTGCATAACCAAAGACATTCCTAACTGTAAATGCCAAGAAGGGAGGCCTCCTGTCTTCTCACTTCTTTGTTCTTAAAATAGTATTCTGCCACTTTTGACCACATTCATGTATATGGCAACACAGTTCAATTCCCAGGAGTCACAATTTCCTAGATGTCCATCTAAGTTAAAGTCCTCTTCTTTGGTCTCTGAAGCAATGGGAGATTTATAAGGAGCCAGATACCCTTTATGATTATCCCAGGATATAACACTGTCATTGTTCTGTGAGCAATCATTTCCCCTGTTTCTTTTTCTTTCTCCATAACAGTCATTTCCACTTTTGTGATGTTGGCAGTGTTGCGATATAGAAGCAATGCAGCCGTGAGCTGCTGGTAGCTTGAAAACATCACATGATGGAATGTTGGGACTGTTCCGTGAAATGGACTGCTGCAGTAGTTGTTCTTTCTGAGTAACACCATGCATTTGCTCCTGTATCCTGTTGCCGCTGCTTAACAGCCTTATCAGCCCCTCACTTACCGGTACATCTTGCCAAACAGGTGGGTCATGATCTACTCTCTATAGAGGAAGTGGATGCTCCCTTTCATAAGGTCCCTGTCTATGGCTTCTGGAGATATCACTAAATATATTCCATGCATTGTGAAGCTTCAGTCTCCAAAAAACCACGAGCTTAAGACTTGAGCTATTTTCCAAACAAAATGGGTGTTTCCCAGAATTCAGAATTCTTCAGCCGTCGCCACATTGCAAGCTTGCATGGAATTACAGAAGACTCAAAGCGCTGTAGTAAGGCCATGGACACCTTAAGGGACGATTCTAAGTGATTAGAGAAATCCTGCATTCAGTTAGTAAGATATACTGCTCTAGCGGGTGGACTTTTATTATTATTGTTGCTTCAAGTGCAGGGGAAAACAAGTGGCCAGAAAGCCTCAGGCAGCTCTTACATCTGATGCATGTATTTGGTGTGAAAATTGGCCAAGAAACGGGCCCAAGTCTAGAAGCCAGAAGCTTGAGCAGATAGTTGCTGATTCAGGTCAAATTAGATACTGCTGAAAGGACTTGTCTGGGCACTGATTCCACATCAGCATACAATTTGATCCCACAAAGGAGCATATTTTTAATGATGTGACTATTTAGCCTGGACTATGTTAGCATACATTTTCTGATGTCTTCTCAAATGGAAATTGGATCCTTAGGAGCACTGTTTGGGTGAATGAGATTGAGTCTCATTTTAAATTTTAGAAGTACAGAACCAGGGAGTATCTGGTTCCTGCCTCACCTTAAATCTCCAAGGCCTACTTCTCCAGAAAATCTGTTTTCTCCAAGAGCACCTTGATCTAAATATTATGTGATGACTGAATATTATGAAACTTGTGCAGACAAGCTAGGTGAACCACTAACAAAGCACCTAAATGAATGGGCAGTTGGGAAAGAAATTTTAATACTCAAAAAAGCAAAAGAAAAATACAGAAGTAAGCTCATTGTTGACTGCATATTATAAAATATTAACATCTATTCTTACCAAATAAAGTCATTTTAGCCACATAGAATAATACCAAGCAGGTTTCATAAAAGGTAGAGTACTAAATATGAACATGAGACAAACAATCAGTGTTATCAAGAATATTAAGAACAGAGGACTCAGGGAACATGACTTCCAGAAATCAAAGGGACAATCAGGTGAGGGAAAGCCCTTGTTTAGAAGTCTGGTGTGTAAACAGCAGGCAAAAGAAAAGGCATTTAATACATACGGATAAAATGTTTCGCCATGCCACGTGGCTTGCTGGCATGACGCAAGCACACCACACAGCGTGCATGACATTGAGCAGCTGAGTGGCATGTATGCACAGTTGCTGTGGAATTCTGAGGGGGCGCAGCACCCTCCTTGAAGCTTTTGGTGGGCCCACAACTCCCTCTCCCCCAGATGGTGCCCCTGACTCACAGCATTATTGTCCTTACCAAGCTGTGATTGTTCCAATTTTCATTTAGATTTGATGTTAATTCTGCAGTGGTTGACACCATTTGTGACAGAAGCAAAGTCATGGGCAGATTCCTGGAAGCTGATGTACCGTGATGTACAGCTATCTGTCTCTCTCCTTTCATGTATTCCATGCAACTTGGTTTCTGAAAAGCATCATGACTACTGCTGGACAGGATGAAGGCCAGGATGACATGATGGAAAAACATAGACACCAGCAGGAGCAGGACCGGATTTTGGTTTGATGAGGCCCTAAGCTACTGAAGGTAATGGGGCCCTATATATGTCCAGCTGTCCATTGTCAACAATGAATTGTCGCTGTTTTTTGTTGAATATATGCTATATGGTAATTTATGGGCCTAATAGGTATCTAAAGCCATTTGCACATCACAAATTACGTATTTTATCAAAGTAATTGTTGAACTGAAATACAATTAAGAAGAAGTATATTAATAGTGAAATAATTACTAAGCTCTAACTTAAAATGATTTTTCATTCATGGGGAGGGGGGAGAGTGGGGCCCTAAGCTATAGCTTGTTTAGCTTATATGTAAATCCAGCACTGAGCAGGAGTCAAATGGGCCAATTAGGAGAATCTACAACCAGGGTGTCCTTGACTATTTGCATATTCTTCCAGTTGTAGATCTGAAGGGTTAGGCAGGGAGCCGTCCCATGAGGACATTTCTCTCCACACAAAGATTCCTAGTTTCTCACATGGAATAAAATTGAGAAGAGGTGAGCAAAAACAGAAAGCCTTGGCATTATTTGCAAACAGAGGTGGTTCTTCTGATTTTGCATGGAGCGTCCTTGCAAGCATCAGGATAGGCTCTTGGCCATTGAAATGGTTCAGTCAGGACTACAGTGGACGCTCGGGTTGCAAACGTGATTCATGCGGGATGCACGTTCGCAACCCGCAGCATTCGCAACCCGCAGCTGTGCATGTGCGTGTTGCGATTCGGCGCTTCTGCTCATGCACAACCGCCAAAACCCGGAAGTAACCCGTTCCGGTACTTCTGGGTTTCGGCGGTCCGTAACCCAAAAAAGTGCAACCTGAAGCATCTGTAACCCGAGGTATGACTGTACTTAAAGCTGCCCTCTCCTCCAGCTGTACACAGCCTCAGCCATGATCAGCACCAACACAAGCAAGACCAAGGCAGACACTCCCAGGCGGATGTTGCCCTCGCCAGATGCGTCCCCTGTAAAAGCAGGAGAAGGAAGACACTGTCACTTATTCATTGCAAATAAAAAAACCGAGGCTCCTGCAAACTGCTCACTTTTCACTCTTGCATTATTTTGTTTTCCTCTATATGCCCACAAACTAGTGCAGGAAGTCACAGTTGTTTTTTCGTGATTGACCATGAAAAGTTAAAGTGTGGCTTAAATTGCGACCTTACAAAAATTGGCTTTTACAATATCGCTGCTGAAACAGACATATGGTAAAACGGAATGGGTGTGAGTGCCTGAAGAATTTTAAGGTGGCGGCTTATATGCGGGTATTGTTTTTTCTCTCCCCCCCCCCCACTTAAATTTTAAAGCTGCTGCTTATATTCAGGTGCAGCTTATATTCGGGCCAATACAGTAAATCCAGTAGGACCTATGTGGTCTTGCCACTTAGCAGAGAATTGCAGGTGCAGTTGGGGATAACTATTATTGCAGAATTTGAGTTAACCTGGTGCACAGCCTTGCTTTCCTAACTAATCGTGTCCCAAGGAAACACAGCCCTGTGCACAGCCTGATCGCAGTAGGACATGCTTGGCTCTGTTTTCCCTAATATGTTAACTGCTTCCATGGCTCCTCTTGTTTGGGGGACATAGCTTAGGGGTAGAGCATCTGCTTTGCATGCAGAAGCTCACAGGTTAAATCCCTGGCATCTGCAGGTAAAATGGGGAGAGAACCTCTCCCAAAATCTTGGACAGCTATGGCCAGTCAGTGTAGACGCTACTGAGATAGATGGACCAATGGTCTCAACCTGTCTAAGGCACTTTCCTGTGCTCCTACCCAGCAACTAAACATGGAGCAGGAGGAAGGCAGAATGGTGTCCCCAGGGCCCTCCTTGGGAATCATGAACACAGTACAGTCCCCCCCCCACAATAATATTTATTATTTTCCATACATAAACATAACAGAAAAAAGCCAATGATAATAAAGGAGAAAGAATGAAACAGAAAAAAGAAAAAGAAAAAAGATCATAAAACCTAAAATACATCAAATCACCACATAAACTAAAACATAATTAATTGATCAAAATCCATCTTCCTAAACATATTACTCGACTTCCTCAAATCTCTTCCATCTTTCTTAGTAATTATATATAGTAGTTTCCAATATCATTTCATAAAACCATATCACAGTCATAATCATATTTCCTAACTTTCCTTATCGTACATTTTCTTATTTATTTATTTAATCACAAGTTAATCCTAGGCCTAACTGATTCTTTCAAGTGATTACATATCTTTAATATTACAATATTTATTCAAATAGTCTTTAAATTTCTTCCAGTCTTCTTGGTATTCCTCTTCTTTCTGGTCGTGGATTCTCCCGGTGAGATCTGGCTGATCACACAGTACGTTTTTTGTTGTGGTTCTGGACAGTTTAGAGTTAACACTCCCAGAGGCATTCTTATTCACTGGGTGCCTGCCCATATTATCTGGGCATTTTTCTTTTTGTTCAGCAGAGTTACTGAGTCTCTGAGAGTTGGTTTTGTTTTTGTGAGAGACAGAACGCTGCAAGCATGCAGCTCGATTCTGTCGGTTTATTTCCTGTTTGTTTATGCTTCTGAATAAACACCTTTGGTAGAATAGAAGCACAGGTGTCAAGTTGAGTTATTGAAGTCACCACTTTGACACAGACCAAGCCATTTATGCTGTGTACGAACACTGCAACGACAACAGCGAAGAGGGGCAGCGCGCAGAAGCAGCGTGTGGGTGGCCATAAACGTCAGACCAGCTCGTAAATCAGGCTAACTGCAGTGCTGGATCAAAAAAAATCCTTCCAGTAGCACCTTAAAGACCAACTAAGTTAGTTCTTGGTATGAGCTTTCGTGTGCATGCACACTTCTTCAGATACACTGAAACAGAAGTTGCCAGATCCTTCTATATAGTGAGAAGGTGGGGAGGGGTATTACTCAGAAGGGTGGTGGGAATGGGTGATTGGCAGATAGCTGTGATGAGCCTGTTGACGACTCTTAATCACCCATTCCCACCACCCTTCTGAGTAATACCCCTCCCCACCTTCTCACTATATAGAAGGATCTGGCAACTTCTGTTTCAGTGTATCTGAAGAAGTGTGCATGCACACGAAAGCTCATACCAAGAACTAACTTAGTTGGTCTTTAAGGTGCTACTGGAAGGATTTTTTTTGTTTTGACTATGGCAGACCAACACGGCTACCTATCTGTAACTGCAGTGCTGGATGGCAGACTTCGTGGGTCAAAGGATTTATGACCTACAAACTTTCACAGTTTTCCTGCTGAGGAACGGATTGGGCCGATGGTATTCGTATGTATTTATGTATTTAATGAATTTCCATGCCACCTTTCACCCAAAGGATCAGAGGGTGGTTTATAGTATAAACACACAAAAATACACAGCAGAATAAAAAACAAAACAATAACCCCCAGTGTGTCCCCAGACTTTAAAGATGCTCTTTTAAGATGCCAGTAATAAAATAAGAATATGATCTTCAGGGATCTCAGAGGTCTAAGCCCTCTACTGGGTTCATCAAGTACAACTTGTCTTGCAAACTTACCTGAGCACTCCACACTGGCATCCTGGCTGTGGTTGCAGCTGTGCTCTCCCCAGGGACTTTGGGGACACTCACTCAGGAAAGCTTCTTCTCCTGTACAGTTGAGACCCTCCAGCCAGATGGGACCAGATCCTTGTCCAAACCATGCTCCACCAAATGCTTTGGAGGCATTTCCACAGCCCAGTTCCCTGCACACAACGTGAGCATCATGCAAATCCCAACCAGCGTCACACACAGTCCCCCACTGGCGGTTGTGCAGCACCTCAATCCTCCCAGAGCAGCGACTTGGGCCATTCACTAGGCGGAGCTCTGATGGGACAAAAAAATAACTAAAGGTGAAAGCTCTGATGAGACAGAGTTGAACATAGTAACAAATATGTGGCATTGAATCTTGCTTGTTAAAGAGAAGGGTTAAGAATTGGGAGTCCTGGGCCTGCTATTGTCACCAACTAATGCTTTCCCTATGCAATGAGAGGGGCTAAAACCTAAGGCATCCTGGGAGACCCACTCTGCCCCTCGGAAGCCTCAGGTTCTGATTCTGCAAGTTTCATTCATTCATTTATGCTTTATTTAATGTTATTTGAAAGCCCTTGATCAGAAAAAGAATATACGTTGAAATTATCAATAAAAGTTACCATTAAACAGAGATTAAATAAAATATGTAATGTTAACATGGATATTAAAAACACACATCAGCATTACATCTTTAAATAGGCTTGTTTAAACAGATTTTCTTAAACAAAATAATTTTTTTTTTGATTTTGCAAATATAAATTCATAACAAAACCAAATTTGAAGAAGAGATTTCTCTGAATCTTGAGACTTCCTCCCATCTCCTCCATGGATCCTATTATAAACACTTTCTACTGCATATCATTTCATAATCTGTATTTTATATCATCCATATTATCCATAGTATTTGTTACGGCACAAGTGAGATTAAAATGTTTTCATCTGCTTACAGTGGTCTTCTAAATAAATTATAAATTTCCCCCGTTCTTTTTAAAATGCTTTGTCCTCTTGGTTCCCGAGCTTTCCAGTCGGTTTTGTCATTTCGGCATAGTCCATCGGTTTAACTTGCCATTCCTCTCTTCTTTCCACCAACAGAAAATGTTTAATGAAGTGTCAGTTCCTGGGTTCAACCCAACTGCTCTGCTATGTTTGCTTATCAATAGATGGGGAGTAGAAAGTGGGAAGAGAGAGAGAAATGTTGAATTTCGCGGCACCAGATACCAGGGCTCTCCCTTTCTGGGCTCTGCTCAAAGGATTCTGGGCACTGTAGTTTGGTGAGGGTTGGTGATAAGTGTAACTCTGTGAAGGGTAAACTACAGTGCCCAGAATTCCTTGCAGGCAAGAATGTGCACTGGATTCACTTTAAAGGTATAGGAGCATGCAGCTCCAGACATGATGCCATGGCTATGAAGGACATCAAACGTCATTTGGATTTAGAACTCCTCTAGGGAATGTTACTCACACCTAGTGCTTATCTAGAAAGCTAGAACGACATTGGGACACTTGTTTTGTTTCTAGAGAAAGCAAAAATGACACAGAATGAAAATTATATTGTGAACTGCCCTTCTTCCTCCTCCTCCCAGCACAACTATCAGCATCAGAACTCTTCAGCAACTTTCTATTGGCAAAGTAGACTTACTAGTTGAACTTGCAGCCAGTTTCCAAGGCCACAGTATAGCTATTACCTGAGCACACAACACTGGCAACTTCTCCATGGTTGCAATCATGTGTTCTCCACTGTATGTCACAGTCCTTGAAGGCAACTTCTGTCCCCTGACAACTGACACCAGACAACCAGGTGGGACCATTTCCTGTTCCAAAGTGCAGCCAGCAAGGCTTCACCGCATCCAAGCTCTCTACATACAATTTGGGCACTGGTCAGATTCCATCTGTCATCACACACAGCCAGCCACTGCCAGTTGTGGAGCACTTCAACTCTTCCAGAGCAGCTGCTTGTACCGTTCACCAATCTGATCTCTGTTGAGATGAGAAATAGCTTCGACTGAAACGGAGTCTACTGATAGATAAAATTAATAAGATACAAGCTCAGCTGCTCTCCTCCACAGTACGGATAACAAAGATGGAGAAGAGGCCAGAATGTTGCATAAAATCCTCACAAATTATGGTTTGAACCTATTTAATGTGGTGCATATGAAGCGAAGGAAAGACTGTGCAAAAGAGGAGGGGAAGAAAACGCAGACAGAGGGTCTTTCCTGCTTCCATTGATATGATTATCAGCAGCAGAGCTGAAGGAAATGTGTTGATGACAAAATGGGCATGCTGATTCAACTTGTATACAAGTTTCTAACCCAACTGTATAAAAGGTATAGGGACCCCTGACCATTAGGTCCAGTTGTGGCCGACTCTGGGATTGCGGTGCTCATCTCGCTTTATTGGCCGAGGGAGCCGGGATACAGCTTCCGGGTCATGTGGCCAGCATGACTAAGCCGCTTCTGGTGAACCAGAGCAGCGCATGGAAACTCCGTTTACCTTCCCACCGGAGCAGTACCTATTTATCTACTTGCACTTTGATGTGCTTTTGAACTGCTAGGTGGGCAGGAGCAGGGACCGAGCAACGGGAGCTCACCCTGTCGCGGGGATTCGAACCGCCGACCTTCTGATTGGCAAGTCCTAGGCTCTGTGGTTTAACCCGCAGCGCCACCCGCATCCCTCTAACCCAACTGTATAGCTCCTATTAATTAATTTATATATTAAATTTGCATACCACCCTTCATCTGTAGATCTCAGAGCAGTTCACAACATAACAATACAAGATAAAAACACGATAAGGACTATTTCTTAATTGTAATTTTTACCTGAGCATACAACACCAGCATCTTCTTCATGCACACAGTTATGTTCTCCCCAAGGCTGTAGGTGGCAGTGGCGGAGGGTAGCTTCTGTCCCCTTGCATCTGACCTCATCCAGCAAGATGGAGCCATTGCCTTTCCCAAAGTGAGCTGCTACTTTGACTGATAAGGCTTCCCCACATCCAAGTTGCCTGCACATGACTTGGGCGCTGCTCAGATTCCAACCATCATCACACACAGTCCCCCACCGCCAGGCGTTGAACACCTCAACTCTTCCAGAGCAAGGGCTTGTACCATTCACCAATCTGATATCTGTAGGGTTTAAAATGGTTAGAGTCCATTTTGTGCCTCCACCTCCCAATTCCTCATTTTTTGTAGCTTCCTTCGAAGACAGAGGTCCTTTGGCTGGGAAGGGACGATATGGGATTAGGGGGCAACTCCCATTTCTTGTGGGGGCGCAATTAGTGCCAGCACCGTCTGTTAAGAGTTTGGGTGTAATCTTTCCATGGAGGCGCAGATTGCAGCTATAACAAAGGCGGCCTTTTTTTTAATCTCCACCAAGCTAAGCAGTTGGCTCCTTACCTCTCTCGCCCTGACCTAGCCACTGTGATCCATGTGACGGTCACCTCCAGACTGGATTATTGTAACTCGCTCTACATGGGGCTGCCCTTGAGACTGACCCAGAAACTCCAGCGGGTGCAGAATGCCGTGGCGAGACTCCTTATGGGGACTCCTTATGGGGTCCTCGCTGCGAGATCACATTCACCTGGTGCTATACCAGCTGCACTGGCTCCCGGTGGAGTACAGGATCAGGTTTAAGGTGCTGGTTTCATCCTTTAAAGCCCTATACGGCCTAGGACCCTTGTACCTACAGGACCGCCTCTCCTGGTATGTCCCACAGAGGAACTTACGGTCCTCAAACAAAAACATCCTGAAGGTTCCAGGCCACAGAGAGGTTAGGCTGGCCTCAACTAGAGCCAGGGCTTTTTCGGCTGTGGCTCCAATCTGGTGGAATGCTCTGTCACAAGAGACTAGGGCCCTGCGGGACTTGACATCTTTCCGCAGGGCCTGCAAGACAGAGCTGTTCCACCAGGCCTTTGGTCAGGGCACAGCCTGACTCCCTCCTTTGGCAATCTTCACAGAACTTTAGCCTAATGGTTGCCATCAATTTGAGTTGAATTAATTTTATAATGAAATGATTTTAGAATGTTGTACTATTTTATTGTTGTTAGCCGCCCTGAGCCCGGCTTCGGCTGGGGAGGGCGGGATATAAATAAAATTTATTATTATTATGATTATTATTATTCCATGGGAAACGTTAAGGGTTCTAGGTTAGAGCATGGATAGGGAATATCAAATTTAGGGACCAAATGCAGCCCTCCAAACCTCTCCAGTCCTGCTTTGCACCCTCTTGGAGTTTCTCTTTTCCTGAACTGGCAAGTGGTGGTGGGATAGTGCTCATCTGACCCCCTTTCTTGGACCCTCCAAAACACTTCTCCTCGTTCCATTCTGCCAACCTAGCAGAACCTCTCTCTTGCCTTTGCAGCATGGCTTACTGGTTGGAGGCTGCGGCTGCTCTCTTGCAAAGCAGAGAGCCTGTCCATCAAGAAGCAGCTGCAAACACAGCATGGAATTTGAGCAAGACTCTGTGGGTATGGAAAATACGAGAAGGTGAGATGCCATAGAACAGGGAGAAGAAAAGCTGTGATGAAGCAAGGGGGGCTAAATGGAGAGGGGAAATGGGATGGTGGGAGGAGAGGGAAAACAGAAGACGGAAAGTGGGTGTTGGGAGTGAGTGGGAGCGCAGTGGTGGGTGCACAGCGGAGGAGGAGGCGCCTGACAAGCACAGGGTGCTATCTATGGAGTCCAGATCTGCCATCACCTTTGGTCAGCTGAAGACCATTACTTTAAAATTTGAAGGGGTCCTATATTTCAGAATGCAGGATTGAATATATTTCTCTTCTCCTTACTTCTTTTACACACACACACACACACACACACACACACACACACAACTTTAACTTGTTCTTCCCATTGCAGCAAGTGGTGGAAGCATCCCCAAAAGACCCCAGAGCCATTTCCCCCAAGAATACATCAGTGGAAAGATGCTCTATCTGGAAGTCATATCCCTTGGAAGGGCGTGTCCTCTCTACTTGCAGAGCAACATGCTGAAAAAAACACCATCTCTGAGAGAACATGACTTTCAGATACACCTGCTTTCCACAGAAGTACAGTGGTACCTCGTGTTAAGAACTTAATTCGTTCTGGAGGTCTGTTCTTAACCCGAAACTGTTCTTAACCTGAAGCACCACTTTAGCTAATGGGGCCTCCTGCTGCCCCTGCGCCGCCGCTGCACAATTTCTGTTCTCATCCTGAAGCAAAGTTCTTAACCCCAGGTACTTTTTCTGGGTTAACGGAGTCTGTAACCTGAAGCGTATGTAACCAGAAGAGTATGTAACCCGAGGTTCCACTGTATTATGAGGGAATATGGTACTGGACCAGTGTGCCAATGCAACTAACCACAATGGCAAAGCATTTTCAAGAAAACAATGAGGAAAAATAAGCTTTTAATATCCTGAATTTCAAAATTGAAGTCTTCCTCAAAATGTTTAAATAGATTTCTGTTGGCCTAATTGGCAGAGCAAACCTGCCTACTTTCATGGCAAAAGAATGGGGCTATGGAGATGCGACATGCATTCTGCTGCACACAAACATCACCACTGGAAATGTGCCATTATTCATTTTTGCTGATGCAAAATCCGGTCAAATTAAGATAATGTTACTGAATATAAATGAGAATGTATAGTGGATGAGCACAAAAGAAGCTGATTCCCGAGATGCTGCTGAAATAATGATGTTTCTGGAATGTTAGACTTGCAAGATATTCAAACCTTGGCTATTGAATGAAATTAGTCAAGTGTCAGTTCAGTCACCACTTTTGAAACCAAAAAAGAAAAGGCAAGAATGTAGGGAAAGAGGAGAACTGGAGCCCAGAGGAAGAAGAATTGTTCTTACAGAGTTCACTTGCTGTATTGGCAAATACTAGTAAAGAAAGATTTGGCAGTTACAGCCAATTTAAAGTTGTGCCTGGTTCTACAACATAAAATCTAGAAAGTGGTGTACAAAAAAAGGACTAATATCCCTCCCTTCCAATGAAAAACAAGCGGCCCTGATGTTTATAGATGCTGAAAAAGCATTTGATAATGTTTCATGGGATTTTATGAAAAAAAGTTCTTGAAGAGATGAACTTTGGGTGAGATTTAGGAAAGGGATTTAATCTATATATTCTGATCAAAAAGCCAAATTAATTGTGAACCAGGTGGTAACAGAGCAATGTAAAATACAGAAAGGAACAAATCAGGGATATCCCCTATCACCTCTTTTATTTATTTTGGTTTTGGAAGTCCTGGCGAGAAATATCAGGGCAGATAATAAGACTAAAGGAATTATGGTAGGGAAAAAGGAATATAAGCTTAAAGCATATGCAGATGACCTTGTAATTATGGTGGAAGATCCTAAAAATTCCCTTTTGAGGGTATTAGAGAAAATACAGGAATTTGGGCAAGTGGCAGGATTTAAGCTGAATAAAAATAAAACAAAATTATTAGTAAAGAAATTAGCAAGAGAAGATAAAATAGAATTACAACAAAATGTAGAAATAGAGATCCATTTAAAAAATCACATATTTGGGGGTCTGGTTAACAACCAAAAATATAAATATTTTAAAAGACAATTATGAAAAAAATTGGAACAAAATAAAAAGGAATCTAGAAATATGCGGAAGAAGGAATTTATCGTTATTAGGGAAGATAGTAGTAATTAAGATGAACGTATTGCCAGTTTCTCTCAACCTAGAATTACCTGAGCAGACAACACTAGCATCTTCTCCATGACTGCAATTATGTGTTTCCCAGTGTAGGTCACAGTCCTTAAATCTGTATTCCATCCCCCAACGCTTGGCTCCAGCCAAGCAGGTGGCACCACATCCTCTTCCAAAGGGAGCTCCTCTTGGGACAAACAAGGCTCCCCCACAGACATGTTCCCTGCACACAGCCTGGGCGCTGTTTAGATCCCAGCCATCATCACACACCGTCAGCCATTGCTGGTTGTGGAGCACCTCCACTCTCCCAGAGCAGCGGTTTGTACCATTCACTAATCTGATCCCTGCAGAGATTGAAAAAGGCTTTTTAACTTTTCAGTTCTGGTTTTTGTTTTTCTCAACAATACAATCAATCAATAAAAACAATAAAAAGAAGAAGAACAATCAGCAATGCATCATAGCAATTTGTAGTGCCATAGTGTACTGTGGTGGGAAATACAGTCAGAACAAAAGTGAAGTGGAGAAAAGGGGATTGATTGGTGGAGGAGGGAGGGAACAAAAGAGTTCGGATATGTTCCAGCAGAGCGCACTCAGAATAAATGTATTAATTTATTCATTTGCTATCTTGCTAGGTTAGGCTCCAGCGGCTCTTCATAGCTGCAGTCCTGCTACTGATCGGCACAGGAGTTTTGACCTGGAGGTACCGACCTGCTGCTGCAGGATTAATTAAACACATCAAGGGGTACCTACAGGATGGTCTTGCTGGTTATCTATGGCCTTGCCTGTTTATTTAAGACAGGTAAAGATAAAGGTAAAGGTAAAGGTTCCCCCTGCCCATACGGGCCAGTCTTGACAGACTCTGGGGTTGTGCGCCCATCTCACTCTATAGGCCGGGGGCCAGCGCTGTCCGGAGACACTTCCGGGTCACGTGGCCAGCGTGACATCGCTGCTCTGGCGAGCCAGAGCCGCACACGGAAACGCCGTTTACCTTCCTGCCAGTAAGCGGTCCCTATTTATCTACTTGCACCCAGGGGTGCTTTCGAACTGCTAGGTTGGCAGGCGCTGGGACCGAGCAGCGGGAGCGCACCCCGCCGCGGGGATTCGAACAGCCGACCTTTCGATCGGCAAGCCCTAGGCGCTGAGGCTTTTACCCACAGCGCCACCCACGTCCCTAAGACAGGTAAAGATCCTACCTAACAAAGATATGGCCACTAGGCCCATCCCCTCCTGGCAAATAGAAGGGGAAGAAATGGAGGCAGTGATAGATTTTACTTTCTTGGGCTCCATGATCACTGCAGATGGTGACAGCAGCCATGAAATTAAAAGACGCCTGCTTCTTGGAAGAAAAGCAATGACAAACCTAGACAGCTTCTTAAAAAGCAGAGACATCACCTTGCCAACAAAGGTCTGTATAGTTAAAGCTATGCTTTTCCCAGTAGTGATGTATGGAAGTGAGAGCTGGACCATAAAGAAGGCTGATCACCGAAGAATTGATGCTTTTGAATTATGGTGCTGGAGGAGACTCTTGAGAGTCCCATGGACTGCAAGAAGATCAAACCTATCCATTCTTAAGGAAATCAGCCCTGAGTGCTCACTGGAAGGACAGATAGTGAAGCTGAGGCTCCAATACTTTGGCCACCTCATGAGAAGAGTAGACTCCCTGGTGTTGGGACTCTGATGTTGGGAAAGATGGAGGGCACAAGGAGAAGGGGACAACAGAGGACGAGGTGGTTGGACAGTGTTCTCGAAGCCACAAACATGAGTCTGACCAAACTGCGGGAGGCAGTGGAAGACAGGAGTGCCTGGCGTGCTCTGGTCCATGGGGTCACGAAGAGTCGGACACGACTAAACAACTAAGCAACAACAAAAGATCCTACCTAGAATGAGCTGCATTTCCATGACCATTCATTCATTCATTTCATAAAATTTATAGTGTACAAAACTTCAAAGTGGTTTACAAAGAGATAAAACTATAAAATCAGGAAAAAATTGAAACACATCAAAAACCTACAAAACCTAAGAGACTCAAACAGATTAAAATTCCCAGCAGCATTTCTAAGCACCTAGGTAGGTTTGTCTGAACAAAAGTGTTTTTAACAGGCACTGGAAAGAGAACAGTGAAGGCGCCAATTGGATTTCAATAGGCAGGGAGACACTGCCACACTAAACAATTGAGTACTTACAGATGCAGAATGGGTATTATGTGGCACCTGTAGTAGTGCCAATTCCACCAACTGAAGTGGTCAAGAGGGCACATGTTAGGCGATATCACCTCACCCTTTACATGCCCACCCAATCACTGCACTCTCTGGGAGAAGGTCTCCTGCAGACAGCATCTGATCAGGAGGTCCATAAGAACAAAGCCTTCAGCCTGGTGGAACCCACCCTTTAGAACTTCCTCCTGTGACGTATCAGACAGGCGCCATCTCTATTGCCTATTTGGTGCCTATTAAAGTCTTTCTTTTTTCAACATTAAAGCATTAAATCCTGTATTGCATTTGAATTTTTTTTATACACTGAATTGCTTTATTAATTGAATATATTATAATTGTTTTATACACAAACATTTTCATTATTTTGATTGCTGTAATGATTTGAGACATTTCATAGGAAGCGAGCTTTAAATAGAATAAAAAAACAAACGAGGAAATTAATATTATCAAAACGTGCATAGGAAGGCCGGCACATTCTTCTAGGGACATATCTTCCTTGGCAGTAGTTGAGAGAAGCTTCTGTTCCCTCACAGGTGAACTTATTTTCTGGCACAAAACTTGGTCTATATTCACCAGCTACTGATGCTGCTGACAGGATGGGTCCACAGCCAAGTTGCCGGCACATGACTTGGACACTGTTCCAGTCCAAATCGTCATCACATGGGGTGAACCAATCCCTGTTGTAGAGCAGCTCAAATCTCCCAGAGCAAATATTTGAACCACCCATCAATCTGATCTCTGTTGGGTGTGAAAAAAGACAGATTTATATCTCCACCTCTCACATTCCTCATCCTTCCTTTTTATTGCCCCTAATTATCAGAGCTCATCAAAACAGAATCTATTGAAGTGTTTTGTTTATTGGAAGTCATGCCTGAAACTGGGCACTTCTTCAACAATGATAGATATTTGCCTGTTGATTCTCACTAGGGGGGCATCATTTTCATTTTAAAAATATCCTTGTACTAAGCTAAATATTCATTTTGACACCCACCCCACCCACCCCAATTTCCAGAATTTTGATATAAACTGTGTGGAAATAACAATATTATATAATTAAAGCTTTTGTTTTTTGAATTGCCTGGAAGAAGATAAAAGATTCTCCAATTGCTGATTTTAGAAAGAAGCAGGATCTCGTTAACCGCTGGAGAGACTTCAAAAAACTTTGGACGGGTTCCTAGAATGTTGAGATGTGACACACTTTTTAATTTAGAAATCCGCCCTGAGGGAATAAGACTGAGCTGCAGAGTTATAAATAGTCATACGGGGAGGTGAGCTCTTAATATGTCATTATATCTGTATTTCAAGTCCGATTTGGTAAATCTCCCCTGGAAAGGCTAATGTTTGATGCAACCAGTATGGGAAAATTAATGAGCAAATGCCGAGATTTGATTTCATCGGAACTGGGAGAAGATGGCATCTGCCAGCAGCGAAATGACTTTTGGATTGATTCGGCACAAACACCAGTGTGTGAGGAGATACTGCAACAATAGAGGAGAATCATACATATAAAATCCACACAGAAACACATCATTGCTTATTTCAACTCGCTTGTGGAAACAACTCAGAGGCCATGAAAGAAGGAAGGTTAACAACAGGAAGATTTAAAGGAACTATTGGAAAGACTATCCAAGGCAACAGAGATATGAGACGATCAGAGCCCCCCCCCCCCCCGAACTTGAAGCATGGGAAGTCCCAACAAAAAATATATATAATTTAGGCAGAATATTTGGACTATTTGATATGTATTTGTATAATTTAGAACATTCAATGTGATTTTATTGGATTGTTAAACTTAAAAAAAAATGATTCTCCCTCCCCCTCCCCCGAATTTTGGAGGGAAGGGCAGTAGTTTCCTCTTTGCTATGGCTATCAACATCATTTGGATATATTCCAAATTTCAGCACAGCAGAGGAATTTCTACCCCCTCTGTCAGGGAACTGCCATCGGAAAGACAGGAGGTGGAAAGGCTCCCGGAGGTTGAGAGAGACTTAGCAGCTGGAGAGGGAACCAGCAGGGGGAGAGGAGGGGCTCCAGGGGAAAGTGAGTCGGAGGGATGGCTCAGAGACACTTCCAGCGAAAACAGTGGGGAGGTTTCAAGACCTCCTATAGGGACACCCACTCCTCGCCGGAAACTGTCATGCCGAGAGTCCAGAAGACGTGTTTCCGTTAAGGAGCTTTTATGCTGGAAGAGACTCCGTAAGAGACCACTTTCGGATTCTGCTAGCGACTGACGCAGCCATGCTGGAGGGGCTCCGTCGCAGGCAGAGGTTTGAGGACTTGACCAAACTCTGAGGGACTTGCATTTTACGCACAAGCAGCTCATTATCCCATTACAGCAATCCGAAAGTCTCTGAAAGCAGCTTGTGCAAGGAGAGGCATCATGAGCAACCCAGCCGGAACCGGAGAAGCAGGCGGAGCTGGAGCTGGAGCTGGTCCAAGCCTGGAAGAAAGGTACAGGGTGTTGGAGCTCCAGCTAGCGTTGCAGACGGCAAGGCTTGAGGAGAGGAGGGCTCAGGATGCAGAAAAGGGAAAAACCCCAACCACCCCGCTCGCACGAAAGGTGCCAGGATTGGTGCAGAAGTTTGGGGGGGATCCCAGGAACTATCACGCCTTTAGGACAGAGATGCAATATGCTCTCAATCTGCAGTTTGATGACTTTCCCGACGAGGAGTCGCGAGTGGCTTTTGTGATTGGGCATCTCGAATCGGGGGCGAAGGACTGGGTTAGACCCCTGATGGCAGTGAACAATGAGATCCTAAAGGACACGAGGAAGTTTTTTCGCGCCATGGACCTAATGTTTTCCAGCGACATTGAGCAGGGAGTGGTGCGCAGACAGTTAATGGCTTGCAAACAGGGGAGCCGATCTGTCCGTGAGTACTGGACTGAGTTTACCATGTTGATCCATAAATTGGGGTGGGACCTATCGGCGGAGCCCATTCAAATGCTTTTCGAAGAAGGGCTTTCTTCGGCGGTGAAAGACGAACTTTCCCGGGCGCCCAGGGCGGAGTCTATGGACCAGCTGACCAAATCCGCACTGACCATAGGAGCACGCCAGGAGGCGAGAGCGTTGGAAAAGCGGGAAGGGAAAGGGGAGCGCTGGAGGGATTTCCGCATTCCAGAGATTCCAGAGCCGCCTTTCCCGCCGGCAGAGCTGATGGAAATTGGCACAGCGCGCGCACGCGCAGTTTCAAATCCCAGTGAAGGGCGGAAGAAGGAGGGGAAGAGCGCCAAGAAATGTTATCTCTGCCAACAGCCAGGTCACTTTGCCAGAGTTTGCCCACAAAGAAAGGAATGGCAAGGGATGGCGGGAGCTGTTGGGGAAAAGGAGGGGGAAGGCATGGAGCAAGTAAAAGCCAACGCCTGGCTGCCACCGTCGGGGCACAGCAGCCAGGCCAAAGAGCAGTAAAAGTGCCCACCCCGGAACCTCCAAGACCGGCTTTAGTGATAGAGGTGTTACTAGAGCTGCCAAATGGACACCCACTGCAGATAAAGGCGCTATTGGACTCAGGCAGCTCCTGTAATTTCATGAGTAAGGAGTTTGCAGCCGAGCACCAGATACAAACTGTCCCTTTAAGTAACCCCCTGCAGGTGATCACGATTGATGGGCGGGAGCTACTGGGAGGAGAAGTCAGCCAACAGACGGTTCCAATGATAATGAGAGTGGCAAGGCACACCGAACGAATAGCGTTCAATGTGGCCACCTTGGGAGGAGCGCCCATTATTTTGGGGATGAGCTGGCTGGCGCTGCACGATCCGCTAGTGGGCTGGCATCAGAGAGTGGTCTCCTTTGGGTCAGCACATTGCCTAGAACACTGCAAAGAGGGGAAGGCTCCGGAAGGGAGCAGAGCCACCTTGGCAGGGACGGAAGTAACGGACAAAGGGAAGGTGCCCCCACAATATGCTGATCTAAGCAACGTCTTCAGCAAAAGAGAAGCAGACAAGCTGCCGCCGCATAGACCCTTTGACTGTCAAATCAATCTACTCCCTGGGGCCCAACTCCCAGTGGGCAAGCTGTATGCCATGTCAGACAGGGAGATGCAGGAGTTAAGGGAGTTCATTGTCAAAAACCTGAAGCGAGGTTTCATCAGAGAGTCCCGAGCGGTGGGGGGCAGCCCAGTGTTTTTTGTGGACAAAAAAAACACAGATAAACCGAGGCTTGTAGTGGACTTTCGCGCCCTGAATGCAGTGTCTGAACCCCTGGCTTTCCCTATGCCCCGAATTGATGACATTTTGACTAGGGTGAGGAAGGGAAAGATTTTTACAAAACTGGACCTGCGGGGGGGCGTACAACCTGATACGAATAAGGAAGGGGGATGAATGGAAAACCACCATGTTCACCCCTTTGGGAGCCTTTGAATACCTAGTTATGCCCTTCGGCCTACAAGCAGGCTCGGCGTGTTTTCAATCATTTATGAACCACATCCTGGGACCTTTGCTCTACAAGAATTGTGTAGCCTTCTTAGACGACGTGTTGGTATATTCAGAGAATGAGGAGCAGCATGTGAGGGACGTTCGAGAAGTGTTGGGCAAGCTGCAAGCCAACCAGCTGTGGGTGAAACTGGAGAAGTGTCAGTTTCATACCAAGGAGGTGGAATTCCTGGGGTACCGCTTGTCAGACAAGGGATTGGCCATGGATCCAGGCAAGGTCCAAGCGGTACTGGAATGGAAAACACCGAAAACGAAGAAGGATGTGCAAAGATTCCTGGGGTTTGGAAACTTTTATCGGAAGTTCATCAAGAACTTTGCCCACTTGACGGCTCCCATCACTGACTGTCTCAGCAGTAAGAAGAAATTTGTTTGGACGGCGGAGGCGGAGCGAGCATTTGAAGAGCTGAAAAGGGCGTTCGCTTCGGAAGAGCAACTTCTGCATGTGGATTTAGAAAAACCTATGAGAGTGGAAACCGATGCATCAGACCGGGCAGTAGGGGCGGTGCTTCTACAACCGGGGAAGAGTAAGTCGGAGTGGAGACTGTGTGCCTTCTTCTCGCGGAAGCTGAATAAATCCGAGAGGAACTACACGGTGTATGACCGAGAACTACTCGCCATTCACGAAGCGTTCCGGAGATGGAGACATTTATTAATTGGTGCACAACACAAGGTGCAAGTGTGCACAGACCACAAGAATTTACAGTATTGGAGAACGGCACGAGTGCTCAACCAACGACAAGTGAGATGGGCCCAGGAGTTCTCCAAATTCCACTTTGAAATTCGTTATGTGCCAGGACCAGAAAACGTCAGGGCGGACGCTCTCTCACGTAAACCCGAGTATTTGGAGGGGGAGGGAGCAATCAAAGAGAGACATGTCATCCCAGAGGACCGCTGGGTGTGTGGGGCGGCACTGGTGGGGCAAAGAGAACTGGTAGAGGAAACGGAAAATGATGAATACGCCCAGGATAAGCTCAGAGGTCTCAGGGGGGAGGGAGAAAGCACCAGAGGCTTTGAGGAAAGAAATGGGGCATTGTATTACAAAGGGGCACTGTATATACCCGAAGGAGAATTGAGGGGGAGAGTACTCAAGCAGTTGCACGATAGCCCCACAGCGGGGCATTTTGGGCAACACAAGACCATGTGGTTGGTTACCAGGGAATTTTGGTGGCCCAAGGTGAGGGAAGATGTAAGGGAGTATGTAAGAGGGTGTGACCAATGCCAGCGAGCCAAAGGGGAAAGGCGGGCGCCGGCAGGGTTATTAGAACCATTACCCACACCAGAACGGCCATGGGAAGCGGTATCGATAGATTTTATGACGGATCTGCCGAAGTCCAAGGGGAAAACAGCCATCATGGTAGTAGTAGACCTGTTAACTAAGATGTGCCACTTTGTAGCATGCTCACATGCAGTCACAGCAGAAGAAACAGCGAAATTGTTTGTAGAACACATTTTTCGGTTGCATGGCGCCCCCTTGAGGGTGGTCTCAGACAGAGGCAAACAATTTACGTCCAGGTTCTGGAGGAAGCTCATGAGCTTACTGCACGTGGAGGTCAATTTTTCGACTGCCCGGCACCCTGAAACCAACGGGCAGGCGGAAAGAGCTAACGGTATCCTCCAACAATACCTGAGGTGTTATGTCAATGACAGAGAGAACGATTGGGTCGAAAAGTTGGCGCTGGCAGAATTTGCCTACAATAATGCGGAGAATGTGTCTACAGGGATGAGCCCCTTTTTGGCCAATTACGGGTGTCACCCCAGGGCATTTCCAGGGGGAGGAGGGGAGAGATGGGGCGTCCCAGCGGCCGAACATTTTGTAGAAGAGATGGAAGCAATCCATCATCAGCTCCAGCTCAACTTAGAAAGGGCCAAAGAAGAATATAAGAGGCAGGCAGACAAGAGCAGAAGGGAAGGTGAAACCATAAGGGTGGGGGATCAGGTGTGGCTGTCAACCCAAGGGTTGCCGTTCAAAGGGGGTTGTAAGAAATTGAGACCCAAAAGATTGGGACCCTTTGAGGTCATTCAGCAGGTCAACCCAGTGGCTTTCAAACTCCGGTTACCCAACCACATGAAATTGCACCCAGTATTCCATAGGTCTTTACTGTCACCGTACAGGGGGGGACGTGAAGGGGAGTACACCAGGGGACCAGCCTTGGAAGAAAGGGAACGCAGCAGCCATGTAGCGGAAATCCTCGATTCCAGGTGGAAGGGAAATCAGGTGGAGTATTTGGTGGCGTGGGAAGGGGAACCGGAGTCAGAAAACACCTGGGTGACTGCAGAGGATGTCAATGACGAGGTCTTAATAGAAACGTTCCACCAAAGGTTCCCGAGGAAACCTCAGCCTGTAGCAAGGTTCAGGAGGGAGTACTTCGGCACCACCGACGAGGAGGAGGAACTGGAAGGGTTCACGGAATCGGAGGTGGAAGAAGGAATTGACTCCGATGACGAGGAGTACCGGGAGACCAGGAACAGCAACCGGTGGAGGGAAGTGTGTGAGACTTCCGAAGATGAGGGAGGTTCTTTCAGGGGCTTTGCTTCCTCACCGCCCATAGAGGAGGGGACGGGAGGGGGTGAAGGGGGCCCTGGAGGGGAGGTGGATGTCAGGGAACTGCCATCGGAAAGACAGGAGGTGGAAAGGCTCCCGGAGGTTGAGAGAGACTTAGCAGCTGGAGAGGGAACCAGCAGGGGGAGAGGAGGGGCTCCAGGGGAAAGTGAGTCGGAGGGATGGCTCAGAGACACTTCCAGCGAAAACAGTGGGGAGGTTTCAAGACCTCCTATAGGGACACCCACTCCTCGCCGGAAACTGTCACGCCGAGAGTCCAGAAGACGTGTTTCCGTTAAGGAGCTTTTATGCTGGAAGAGATTCCGTAAGAGACCACTTTCGGATTCTGCTAGCGACTGACGCAGCCATGCTGGAGGGGCTCCGTCGCAGGCAGAGGTTTGAGGACTTGACCAAACTCTGAGGGACTTGCATTTTACGCACAAGCAGCTCATTATCCCATTACACCCTCCTTGTTTCTTCACTAGTTTTTACTATTGTAGAAGTAATATTGTGGCGAGACTCCCAGGGCACCCCAGAGTCCCTGGAAGGGCACTCCTTCCCCTTGTACACCATCCCCCAGAAGAGTTGTGGGCAGAAATAGCCACTGAATATGTAAAATGTCCATAGTAATTAGATTTTCTGGGTATTAAAATAGCTAGTTATTTCAAATTCAGACATTGCATTAAACTGGTATGGTGTCCTTTCAGCTCCCCACCCCCCACCCCAACCAAAAGTGAACAGAAAGGAGAAAAATGATGCAGGAAGCAGAACAAAGCCTAGAAGAAACACTGCAGGAATGTTGTGAATTGTGTTCTAGATGAGACCCAGAAAAGAGTATGCAACAAGAAGAGGAAGGCTCACCCTCTGCCCCTTCAGAGGATGATCAGAGCTCAAGAGAAGCCAACTTTTGGCATAACAGTCATGATTCAAATTTCAGCTAGTGTCTAAGCATTTATGTTACCTGAGCACACAACGGCAGCACCTTCTCCATGGCTGCAGTCTTTCGTTTGCCAGTTGTTTGGGGTGCACTCCTTGAACGTAGCTTCTGTTCCCTGACAATGGACACCAGTCAACCAGGCAGGACCATGTCCTCTTCCAAAATGAGCTCCTCTTGGGACTGACAAGGGAGGGCTACAGCCAATTTCTCGACAGACAACATTGGCACTGTTCAGATCCCATCCCTCATCACACACGGTCAGCCACTGCTGGTTGTGGAGCACCTCGACTCTTCCGGAGCAGGGACTTGTTCATTCACCAATCTGATGGTTTGGAGATCTGTAAAGATTAAAGGAAATTTTGTTTCTCCACCTTCCAGTTCCTCATTCTTCCTGGCTTCCATTTAGGCTGAGGCACAACAAGTGGGCAGGTGGCCACGCTGGCATTTCTCATAAGACTGCAGTTTACCAGATAATTCAAAATAATTTAATTGGGTTCACTTTAGGGCTGGAAGGAACAGACTCTGAAGCACCATTTCTCACAAAACATGAAGCATCATTCTTTATCCAAAGTCCCCCATCCACAACTATAATAACAATTTTAGATTTTTGTCTTAAGAATGCTAAAAAGTAGCTCTTTTTGATACAATGTCATATTAATCGGGTTTCTTGGTGTAGTCAGTTTCTATGGCTATTTTATGGTACCCTCTGAGCACATGACGCCGGCCTATTCTCCATTCCTGCAGTCATCTTCTCGGAATCCTTGGACACAACCTTCAAGAACTTGTTTGAGAGTACATCTCATATGAATGTGCCAGAGGCGACCAACTCCACCGGCAACTTGGATATATAAATAAACATTTTTTTGCCTTCCCCTTCCTCTTTCTTTTTATTGCAGTCTTGGTTATTTGAAATACAGGTCGAGGATAGAGGTTTAACGGGAAATAAAGTTCCTCAAAAGGTGAGAGGCTTGGGCTTGGAAGAAGCTGAAAACTCATGTTTCATATGGGTGTAATATTTGTGGGGGTTTGCCCCCCCCCTTTGTGTGATTTTTATTCAGACTCTCCATTTTGGATTAGGCACATAGAAACGGCCAAAGAGAAAGTTCCATCCTCCCTTTCATTTCCCCTTTTATGCCCCCCTAGTGGGACAAAGAACAATTCCAGCCCAAATGAGAAGAGGTTCCACCCAAGAACCAAAGCCCAAAATGGAAATTTCAGAAATGTATTCTGAATTAAGGAAAGATATAAAAGATAATGCAAAGAATCTGGAGGAGAAATTGGAAAGGATGGAAAACAAGATAGAACAGAATACAAAATCAGTGGTGGACCTAACTGGACAAATCAAAGAATTATCAACAAAAACTTTAGAACCAGGAAAACCCATGCAACATTTAAAAGTAAAGACACAAGGCCTGAAAAAAACAACTAAGAAAACAAACAGGGTAAAAGAGCTGAAAGACCTCATGAGAGGTCTAAGTAAGATGCGGTAGGATTAAGTATGATGCAGGATGCTGTATGGGATTCAATTGCAGTGCTGGAAATGCAGCAGAAAGAATCAACTTTGAGATTTTGAGGGATGTCAGAAAGTGTGGAGGAGGATATATAGGAGAAGAGCCTAAATAATAAAAGAAATAGCAGGCTGGTAAGAAACTGAAGAAGAGGAAGTCAACTTTTCATTGGATAAAGCCTTCATGATCAAATCAAGTTACGCAAAAGCTAAAAAAGAACCTACCAGGGGACTGTCTGGTGATATTCAATTCAAGAGAGATGAAAGAAAGGATACTACAGATGAACTATGAAAAAATATTTTATATTGACAATACAAACATCATAATCTTGAAGGAGATTCCGATCAGATTGCTAAAGAAGAGAAGTAACTATAAGTTCCTGACAGATGCGTTGAGAGAAAATGATATACCGTGCAGGTGGGAATTTCCGGAAGGGATCTCATTTTCATACTGTCAGGGAACTGACATCAGAGACACGGGAGAAGGAGAGGGTCTCAGATTCTGCAGGTGAAGGGGGAGACTCAGCTTGGTGGAAGGGGAAGGAAATATGCGTGACACCAAGAGTCCAGGAGAGCAAGGGGAAGAGGAGGTGGAAGGGCTCCAGGATTCTTCCCTGGAAGTCAGTGAAGAGAGCCCAGGCACTCCGCTACCCACGCCCACCCTGCGCAGGAGACTCCCGCGCAATGAGAGGCGGAGACGATTAGGTGTCAAACAGCTTTTATGCTGGCAGAGGTTTAAGAAACGCCCACAGATAGATTCTGCCAGTGACTGAGGCAGTCAAGCGGAGATGGGCTGTGCAGTCCGAAGGGTTTAACCAGGCAACCAAGCACCCAAACGGGGTCGGCTTACGCACGAGTAACTCCAAACCACTACAGCAATCTGTCTGTCCTCGAAAGTTGCTCATGCGCAACAAGCAGGAGGCATCATGAGTAAGACCGGAGAAGTCGGAGCTACGCAAGGGGTGGCTGGAGGCCAATCGCTGGAGGAGAGAAACCGCGACTTGGAAGAGCATATAGCCATCCTGACGGCGAGGCTAGACGAACAACGGTCTCTAGATGCTCAGGGGAAACCCACCCCCATAGCAAGGAAGGTACCGGGACTGGTGCACAAGTTTGGGGGGAAGCCTCAAGATTATGGGGCATTTAGAACAGAAATAGAATATGCCTTGAAGCTGCAGCAGAACGATTTTGAAAATGATGCAGTGCGGGTTGCTTATATTGTGGGGCACCTGCAGGACGGGGCTAGAGAGTGGATCAGGCCGCTTATGGCAACGCAAAATGATGCCATGGAGGATCTCCCGAAATTCTTCCAGGCAATGGACGCAATGTTCTCTAGTGATGTGCAACAAAGTGTGACCAAAAGAGAACTGATGAACTGTAAGCAGGGAGACGGGTCAGTTAGAGACTATTGGTCACGTTTTGCAATGATAGTTCACCGTCTGGGGTGGCAGCTGGACTCGGAACCCATACAAATGTTATTTGAGGAAGGGTTGTCACCAACGGTCAAAGATGAGCTTTCGCGCGCGCCCCGCCCACAGTCTATGGATTTGCTGACCAAAGCTGCCCTTGCGATTGGTGTAAGGCAGGAAGCGCGGGCTCAAGAGAGGCGGGAAAGGAGAGAGGAGCGTTGTCATGACTACCGCATTCCTAAGATACCAAGGCAGCCTTCCCCGCCGGCAGAGCCAATGGAAATAGGTGGTGCACACACCCAGGAGGTTTCAAACTCCAGCGAGGGTCGCAAAAGGGAGGGAAAGGATGTAAAAGCGACCAAGAAATGTTTCCTTTGCCAGCGGCCAGGACATTTTGCCAGAGTCTGCCCACAAAGAAAGGCCTGGCAAGGAATGGTGGGGGCCGTGGGGGGAGAGGAGGAGGAGCAACCGACCCAGGAGCAGGGAAACGGAAACGCTTGGCTGCCAATCAGCGGGCACAGCAGCCAGGCCAACAACCAGTGAACATGCCCAAACCAGATTCTCCAAGAGCAGCCATCGCCATAGAGGTAGTGCTAGAACTCCCGAATGGGCACCCAGTCAAGGTGCAGGCAATGCTGGACTCGGGGAGTTCATGCAACTTTTTCAGCAAGGACTTTGCCTTAGAGCATCAGCTTCACCTGCTACCTTTGGATGCACCCCTTGCAGTTACCACAATTGATGGGAGGGAACTGATTGGGGGAGAAGTGACCCACCAGACCCCACCGATGAGAATGAGAGTGTCTAGGCACTCAGAGACGATCGCCTTTCACGTTGCCTCATTAGCGGGTCCCCCAATAATATTAGGAATGAGCTGGCTAGCGCAACATGATCCTGTGGTGGCGTCGTACCAGAGGACAGTCAGCTTTGGGTCAGACTACTGCCTGCAGCACTGCCTAGGAGGGGAAACGCCGAGGATGAGTGTAGCCAGAGTGGCAAGTATGGCAGTGGAACGGAGAGGGGAGGTGCCGCCACAATATGCTGATCTGAAGGAGGTTTTTAGTGAGAAAGAGGCAGATAGGCTGCCCCCCCCACAGGCCGTTTGACTGCCAAATCAATTTACTCCCCGGGGCGCAGCTGCCGGTGGGTAAGCTGTATGCCATGTCAGACAGGGAGATGAAGGCGTTACGGGAATTTATCGACAAGAACCTAAAGAGAGGATTTATAAGAGAATCAAAGGCAGTGGGGGGCAGTCCAGTATTTTTTGTGGACAAGAAAGACACTGATAAGCCCAGGCTCGTAGTGGACTTTCGGGCAGTCAATTTGGTGTCGGAACCCGTGACTTTCCCTATGCCCAGAATTGACGACATTCTGACGAGAGTGAGGAAGGGAAAGATTTTCACCAAACTCGATCTAAGGGGGGCTTACAACTTGATCAGGATGAGGGAGGGGGATGAATGGAAGACCACCATGTTCACACCCCTGGGGGCCTTTGAATATCTAGTTATGCCTTTTGGATTACAATCAGGCTCTGCCTGTTTTCAAGGTTTCATGCACCACGTGTTAGGGTCTCTGCTTTACAAAAACTGTGTAGCCTTCCTGGACGACGTCTTGATTTATTCGGAAAATGAGGAGCAACATGTGTGAGATGTCAGGGAAGTGCTACAACGATTGCAGAAACACCAGTTGTGGGTCAAGCTAGAGAAATGTCAGTTTCATGCCCGAGAGGTGGAGTTCCTGGGGTACAAGTTGTCTGACAAAGGCCTAGCGATGGACCCAAGCAAGGTGCAAGCAGTATTGGAGTGGAAACCCCCCAAGACACGGAAAGACGTGCAGAGGTTTCTAGGTTTCAGCAACTTCTACAGGAAGTTCATCAAGAACTTTGCCCACTTGACAGCACCAACCACGGACTGTCTCAGTAGTAAAAGGAAGTTTGTGTGGACGGAGGAAGCCCAGCGGTCCTTTGAAAGCTTGAAGAAGGCGTTCGCGTCAGAAGAGCAACTATTACACGTGGATTTGGAGAAACCACTGAGGTTGGAGACAGACGCATCAGACAGAGCCATCGGGGCTGTTCTTTTGCAGCCAGGATTGGGCAAGCAAGAATGGAAACCGTGTGCCTTTTTCTCGAGGAAGCTGAGCAAGTCGGAACAAAACTACACCGTGTACGACCGAGAACTGCTCGCAATCTACGCTGCGTTCGTCGGTGGCGCCATCTGCTGATAGGGGCAGAACGCAAGATCCAGGTTTGCACAGATCACAAGAACTTGGAATACTGGAGGACAGCACGAGTGCTCAACCAGAGACAGATTCGCTGGGCGCAGGAATTCTCCAAGTTTTCTTTTGAAATCCGGTATGTGCCAGGGGAGCAAAACGTGAGAGCAGACGCTCTTTCGTGGAAACCAGAGTACTTCGAAGGAGAGGGGCCGCCGGAGACACGACACGTCATACCTGAGGACCGATGGGTGTGTGGGGGAACTCTGGTGGGCACGAGAGAACTGGCAGGGCTCACTAGGAACGATGAATTCGCCCAAACAAAAATCAGGGAACTCCGAGATGGGCGGGGAGCACCAGAAGGGTTTGAAGAGAAGGAAGGGGTGTTGTACTATAGGGGGGCAATGTACGTATCGGGGGAAGTTCTAAGAAGAAGGGTACTCAAACAACTACATGACACCCCCACAGCGGGACACTTTGGACAACACAAAACTATGATGTTGGTGACCAGGCAATTCTGGTGGCCAAGGGTGAGGGAAGATGTACAAGAATATGTACGAGGGTGCGACCGCTGCCAAAGGGCCAAAGGGGAACGCACAGTACCAGCGGGTTTACTGGAACCCTTACCCACACCAAACAAACCCTGGGAGGTGGTGTCTATTGATTTTATGACGGATTTGCCCAAATCAAGGGGGAAAACAGCAGTAATGGTAGTAGTCGACTTGCTAACCAAAATGTGCCATTTCATAGCCTGCTCACACGCGGTGACGGTAGAAGAAACGGCACGGTTGTTTGTAGAGCACATTTTTAGGTTGCATGGCGCCCCTTGAGGGTTCTCTCCGACCGCGGAAAACAATTTACTTCCCGGTTCTGGAGGAAGCTCATGAGTCTGCTGCAAGTCGAGGTGAGTTTCTCGACAGCGAGACACCCAGAAACCAATGGGCAAGCAGAAAGGGCAAACAGCATACTCCAGCAATACTTGCGCTGTTACGTAAGCGAGAGGCAGAATGATTGGGTAGAGAAACTAGCGTTAGCGGAATTTGCGTACAATAACGCTGAACATGTGTCCACGGGAATGAGTCCGTTTATGGCCAACTATGGGTGTCATCCCAGGGCATTTCCAGGGAGTGAGGAACAAAGCTGGAGTGTGCCCGCTGCTGAACAGTTTGTGGAAGAAATGGAAGCTATACACCAACAACTTAAGATGAACCTAGAGCGGGCCAAGGAGAATTACAAGAAGCAAGCAGATAAGCACCGCAGGGAAGGGGAAACCATACGGGTGGGGGATCAAGTGTGGCTATCCACTCAAGGGTTACCCTTTAAAGGAGGGTGCAAGAAGTTGCAGCCTAGATGGCTGGGGCCATTTGAAGTCACACAACAGATAAACCCCGTGGCATTCAAGCTCAGGTTGCCCGACAGTATGAAAATACATCCTGTGTTCCACAGATCCTTGCTCTCACCACACAGAGAGGGGCGGGAGTTCGTGGGGCGGGAAGTAGAAGTCATGCCACAACCACAGGTAGAAGAAAGGGAACACCAAAACTCGGCTGCGGAAATAGTGGACTCAAGGTGGAGAGGTCGGCAAGTGGAGTACTTGGTGGCGTGGGAAGGAGAGCCCTTGTCGGAAAACACGTGGGTGCCAGCGGGAGCAGTTGGTGACGAGCATATGGTGGAAGTGTTCCACCGCCGGTTCCCGGATAAGCCCAAGCCCTTAGAGAGATTCTGGGAGGAACAATTTGGCACCACAGATGACGAAGAGAGCTTCGAAGGGTTTTCAGAATCCGAGGAAGAATCGGACTGGGAGGGTCACCCCATGGGTGGGAACCTCGGCAGGTGGGAAGAGGTTTTCGCACCCACGGAGGAGGAGGACAGCTCCTTCCGGGGTTTTCCTGTCTCACCGACCAGAGAAGAGGAAGAGACAGAGCCCACAGGTCGAACGGGGAGTGAAGGGGGCCCTGGGGGGAGGTGGATGTCAGGGAACTGACATCAGAGACACGGGAGAAGGAGAGGGTCTCAGATTCTGCAGGTGAAGGTCCTAGCACAAGGGGGAGACTCAGCTTGGTGGAAGGGGAAGGAAATACGCGTGACACCAAGAGTTTAGTAGAAAACCTTAACTTAATGGATATATGGAGATTTAAGCATAAGGAAGAATTGATGGATAAATGCTCCAGCTGTAGGCTCCTGTTTAGGAGGAACTAATGCCAGTTTTAGAGCTAGCATTTTCTACCTGAGTACCTGCCAAACATTCCTGCCATTCTCTCTCTCAACGATTTTCTGCCACCAGAAGAGTGAATCTATCCAGCTTTCATCTAGAAATGCTTGCTTTGGATCTTTGGCTCTACACAGGATACACTAAACAAAACCTCTCCTACAACATTACCTGAACACCCCACACTTGCATCCTGGCTGTGATCACATCTGTGCTCTGCCAATGACTTTCTTGGGCATATGGACAGGGACGCTTCTTCTCCCGTACAGTTGACTCCCTCCAGCCACATGGGACCCGATCCTTGGCCAAATAAGGCTCCACCAAATGCTTTGGAGGCACTTCCACATCCCAGCCAGCATCACACACAGTCCCCCACTGCTGGTTGCGAAACACCTCAATCCGCCCAGAGCAGCCACTTGAGCCATTCACTAGGCGGGTCTCTGATGGGGGAAAAGAGGGTTGTTGTTTTTTTGTTGTTGTTGTTTGCAAGGCACAGCTGTCATATAACCTTGTTTATAATTTGGGATCTAATGAATGAAATAGAGGGGTTGAGAATTAAGCCACCTACCCTGCCCCCCCAACATTATCCTCCTATATAAACACCATCACCCTTTCCATGAATTATTTAATAGAATCGTACCTTGGGTTTAAAACGCAGAACGCCCTCCCATCAGATGTCAAGCAAATATAAGATTGAGTCAAGTTGTTTTCCCCTCACATACTTCTGGCAAAGCAACAAGACCTGGTCCCCGACCTCAAACCTGAAATATGTGGCCTGGAATATAAAACCCCACAAGCAGGAACTCCAGAAGCAGTGCTTCCTGTTCTTCTTATATGTCAATTCAGTTACACACAAACCGTTTGGTTTAACCTTCTCTGCTGAGGGTTTTCTATAGTCACTCAAGCTCCAAGCTGCAGGTCTTGGGGACAGGAGGATGACTCCACTCCTCAGCTGCAGCCCAACCCAAAAACTGCCCTTAGTGGCACATTTAGCCCTGGTTGGGGCGGGGACCTGCTATTACACCAAATGAGAGGCTTTTATTCAAGGCCTATTGTAGTCGGTGGGAGCCATTTTCAGCACAGGAATCACAGTGCAGTTGTTTTTTAGTCGTTTAGTCTTGTCCGACTCTTCGTGACCCCATGGACCAGAGCACGCCAGGCACTCCTGTCTTCCACTGCCTCCTGCAGTTTGGTCAAACTCATGTTGGTAGCTCTGAGAACACTGTCGAACCATCTCGTCCTCTGTCGTCCCCTTCTCCTCGTGCCCTCAATCCCTCCCCTAATCTTTCAAACACAGCATTTAGTCTTGAGGAAAAACTTATTCATTCCATTAGCAGGTTTCCCTCCAAGCAAAAACCTATGATGTGGCCTGTATAAGGAAACTCTCCTTTGCAGGGCATATGGCCTGTGTGTCAGTTGTTCCCCACCACTGCATTAAAAAAAAACCCTTTAAATTTCAAAGATCCACCCTTTGAAAGTATAAGAGCTACAAGATTAGATTTTGCATCAGACATAAGCACGAAAGGAGAGAGGGATGTGGGAAAAAGGAAAGATGCATTGTGGACTGTATCTCTTCTCCCTTCTCACGACTACCAATACCAATATGCTGCCAACAAAAGAGACAGACTGATTTAACCCAATTTCTATGTCCACAGTATGGCACCCTTTAATGCATTCACACCCATTACCTGAGCACACAGTACCAACATCTTTCCAATAGTCTTCAAAATAGTCTTCAAAATAGTCTTCAAAAATTGCTTTATGGAGCATGTCAATTTTTTGACAGTATCTGAGAGCAGCTTCTGTCCCAAAACAGAATGTATCTTTCCACAAGAAGGGGCCATGTCCTCTTCCGAAGTGAGGTCCTTTCTCGGCTGACAAAGCAGGTCCACAGCCAACTTCCCTGCACACTACTTGGGCATCACGCAGATTCCAGGAAACAGAACGCACTGTCCTCCACTGCTGGTTGTGGAGCACCTCAACTCTTCCAGAACAAAAGCTTGAGCCGTTCACCAATCTGGCCTCTGGTGGTTCTAGAATTTTTGAAAGGCACATCTGTTGTTTCTGTGCGATAATCAGGCTCATATAACCAACAGGCTTAAATCTAATTAATGCACGAAAGGATTCATAAACTCAAGGTGCTTAGCCATGAATTTTGCCTCCAGAAGGTGCCATTGATGCTCTCAGCCCACCAGCCATTTTATGGTCTGGGCTTCTCACCTGTCCTTTCTCCCTTTCCCAGGCAACCTCCCCTGCAGCCCTGGGGACCCCTTCACCCCCAAAGTCAAAACAGCAAGCTCACCCAACCCCAGGAGGGAATCACAGGTAAAACTGTCTCTATACATGTGCGAGTGATTGTGTGAAAGAGTGCACACCTGCTGGTTTTTACAGCTCTACTATTGTGTACACTCATTTAATGCAACATGTGAACATCTGTAATATGGTTCAGTGACAGAAGATGTTTCCTTCAGGTGGGACACAAGGCAAAAGAAATGAGGCAAAGGAAGATATCTAACATGTCTAAGGGTGATTCACTCTCATGAAGCCTCCATGTTGTCCAGGGGATTTCAATAAAGTGTGAAGCAACCTTGTGAAGGAAGGTCCCATGAAGAAAAAGGCATCACATAAATTAAAGACCCAGAACACGCCCAAGGGTATGGGGTTCTTCACAGATTACCCTTAACACTTGTGCACAAACTCGCTATACAAGTACGACTGTGTGAAAGCGTGTGCATGTATTCATCTTCTAAATATCCATATATTTAAATCTTGTATCTTGCACCAATTTCTTGGCAGAATTGGATATAAAGGTAAAGGTAAAGGGACCCCTGACCATTAGGTCCAGTTGTGTCCTACTCTGGGGTTGCGGCGCTCATCTTGCTTTATTGGCTGAAGGAGCCGGTGTACAGCTTTTGGGTCATGTGGCCAGCATGACTAAGCCGCTTCTGGTGAACCAGAGTAGCGCACGGAAACGCCATTTACCTATTTATCTACTTGCACTTTGACGTGCTTTCAAACTGCTAGGTTGGCAGGAGCAGGGATGGTGCAACGGGAGCTCATCCCGTCACGGGGATTTGAACCGCCAACCTTCTGATCAGCAAGTCCTAGGCTCTGTGGTTTAACCCACAGCGCCATCCACATCCCAGAACTGGATATACTGCAATAATAATTTGAACTTGATAGTTGGGATTTTCCAAACTTCCCCCTACAGAGGATTCACTGACTCCTAAGAGAGAACCTTACCTGAGCACTCCACACTTGCATCCTGGCTGTGGCTGCAGTTGTGCTCTCCCCAGGGACCTCTGGGGCAATCATAGAAGGATGTTTCTTCTCCTGTACAATTAACTCTCTCCAGCCAAATGGGACCAGATGCTTGGCCAAACCAAGATTCACTTCGCACTCTTAAGGCATTTCCACAGCCCATTTCTCCACAAACAACGTTGGCATCCTGTAAATCCCAGCCAGCGCCACAAACGGACCCCCACAGCTGGTTGTGAAACACCTCAATCCGTCCAGAGCAGTTACTTGAGCCATTTATGAAACGGAGCTCTGATGGAACAAAAAAGACTTATAGTAACACATCCAGGGAAGGAACCTACAGAAATGCCTGCATGTCTTGCTGCTAGTAGAGGTAAATTATCATATTAAAATTCATGCAGGTGGAGGGGAAGATCACATAGGGATTTTAGTCAGTTGTAATGAAAATAGAAACAGAAGCAGCAATTGCAGATATTTGTTGATTCATCCCATGTCCAGAATGGAGATAAATCCAGCAAATACAATCAATATTATCTGTTGTTGCTTTCAGACCCCAAAAGATGCAGTTGGTGGCATTTGCTCCCCAAATCCATTGTATTTCCTTTGCACTAAAATGAATGAGGTGGGAAAATATAGTGGCAGCGTAACTTATGTAATTAATTGCATAATTTTACCACAGTCCACAATGAGAAAAAGGACTTGTCAGAAGACAAACTGCAGGGGAAGGGGAACACTTGTCAGGAGCTGCATCCAGCCAGCTTACTCTCCAACATTTCTCAGATGAAAAAAGGGGCATTAGCATATATTAGCCAGTAGCAGCTTGGGACCAGTTTACCTATGAGTATATCTGTCTCCCTGCCTGCCGACTGCACTCGTCAGATGAGAGTGAGACTGTGCTTTTCATACTGCAGCTCCAGCCCTCTAGAATAAGGGGTCACCGGAAATCAGAAAAGCACCTAACAATTTGATATTTGGCACCTTTTCAAAAATTTTACTTAAATGGCTTTCCACAATGCACGTGACCCAGTCATTTTAGAGAATAAAAACTGTATAATTTTAGAAATGGTTTCATAGGGTGGTATAAATAAAGTTTTACTCAGTGTTGACCCACTGAAATTAACGGGCCTAACTCAGTCATCTTAATGTTAGTGGATCTACTCTGAGTAAAATGCAGTAGAATACCACACACAGTCTCCATTTACTGGGTTTGTAACCTTTAATGTTTTGTTTTATCTTATTTTATTAGACACTGCTTCAGTAACTTTTTGTTGTGGAATAGTTTATGAATCTGTAAATTAAAATAAAGAGTTCCAACTTCCCCTAGGTGGACCCTGGGGACAGGTGGGAACAGGGCAGACTCTTTAGGGTCAAGTGGGTGATTGGGTGGAACATGGCAAAATTTAACAGGTCGTGACTGAAGCCTAGAATAATCTGGAAGTTATCGTTACCTTATTTCTGCACCACTGCGGGTAGCATTCTCCACTCCTAGCATGTGGGAATATAATCCAGGGTCCCCTCCCCACTCCCCACTCCCCACTCCCTACCTCCCACTAACCACTTTAACACTCCCATTTCAAACGTTTTGAAAAATGCATTGAATTTGCTATAGCTCACCTAGTGTCACAATTGTATATTGCACTTTACAACACATTCAAAACGTTTTATTTGCAGATGTAGCTGAGCCAAAAAACCAAGCTGAGGGACACCTACAAGTCTGCAAGAAATGATGTCAGAGGTTTTTGCCCAATTCCAGCTCTCTTGCCACCCAACAACCCTTTTCAAATTTGCTTACAGAGCTTGTTGGGAAACTTGGCGAGATTGGTGCCAGGGAAGACCATCACACTGTAATGTGTAACATGTTTACTCAGCAGAAAGTTCAAAGGTATTTATTCCTAGGGAGTGCATTGCAGCCAAGAGAGAATTAGTGCAACAAGAGGAGCCAGGGCTCATACGAAGTGAGAGACCTGCAGCAGTCGTCCTGCACCTTGCACCAAGGCTCACTTCAGCCAGCCACAAGCCTGACTCCCTGCCTTGCCAGTCCCACTCCTTTTCCCCGCTCAGCTGCATACCCTGGAGCCTCAAATTTCAGTGCACCCTGTGAGGCCGAAGTCTGCCTCCCCAACTTCTCGCCTTCTATTGGACGTAATAGCGATGGTACCTGCTGCACAGCCCCAGAAGCTCTGTGCCCAGTGCCACCACACCAGTTACGCTTGGGGCAGTTGGTGGGTATGAGTCAGTTCATGACAACAGTGCTGCAAGAACCTGCACTTTTTTCATGATAGGAATTACTTCTTCCCAAGGCTTCTTATTCGAGAGTAATGCAGATAATGAACTTACTTGAGCATACAACCACAGCAGCATTTAGATCACTGCAGTTCAGTGTCCCCCAAGACCTTGCTGGGCATTGACCGAGAGTTGATTCTGTCCCTGTGCATCGGAGATCATCCAGCCAGATGGGGCCAGTGCCTCTTCCAAATTCTGCATTCCGTAGGGCTGATCTTGCGTCTCCGCAGCCCAACTGCCGGCATACAACTCTGGCATCCTCCATGTCCCAGCCGTGACCACATACAGTGCCCCACTGGCCATGAAGGAGCACTTCAACCCTTCCACTGCAGCGACCTGAGCCTCCCACCAGTCTGATTTCCACTTGGGATGAGTTTGCAACATCTGAGTCTGAAGCTACACCTGGGATTACAGAAATTCATCCTATGTACAACCATTCTGAAAGTAGCAACAGGATATAAAAAGTGGGTGAGAAAAAGGGGAGTGACCACCGTACTGCTGGATGGACTAACATCCATGCTCTTTTTAAATTTCCAGCAGCATCCAATCAGTCAGTGCATGAAGCTGGGAGCCCATCCCATCCTCTTTAGTGGAATTTTTAAAAATACTGTTTTGTGAGCTGTTTAGAAGGCTTTTAGGCAGAAAAAAATGACATAGAAATATATCCATAGCAAACTTAAAAATATAGCCTTTTGCTATCACTACTCACAGCAGACCAATAGATAAAAACTAAAAAAAAGCAACCCACACCTTTCATCACTACATCACTTAGTATATAAGTAATCATAGTGTGTTTAGTTACAGGTTGGATAGCTGCACTCTTGTCCCAGCAGGTTACAGAAGGCCAAGAAATGTTTTCTGCAAGTGCTTCATTCCAGAATGGCAATTCATGGTGGTTCTTCCCTCTTAAGATCTCTAGTTTCATTATTTGACAGATCTCTCTTCTTCAACCATATTCCACGAGAACTTTCCCCTTTGGGAGTTTAGCCTGCAGTCTTGCTGGCTCCCTGTTTCCCCTAAAATGCCATATAGGCGCCAACTCCAGGGGTGGGGGTGGGAGGCTGGGCACCCACAAAGTCAATGAGCAAAGCTGGAGAGCAACGCCTCCGAGACAAGTCTTTAAGCTCTGCCCTCCACAGCCAGTCAGCGAGTCACCCTTTTCCAGGAGGGGGGGTGGCCTCGGACGCGGAGGCATCTGAGCCCCTCCCCACGAAAAAGGGTACCTTGCTGGGGGCAGAGACAAGGAAGAGGATCCGCCAGAAGACACAGATGTGTGTGATCACACACATGATGCACAACCTTGCATCACTTTTTTGGAGGAGCAGCTCTCCAAAAACGTGATGAAACATTGCAAGTCTTGCATGTGACATTACACACACAACATGAAGGCATGTTGCGGTGGTGGGCACCCATGATCCCGAGGGCAAGATGGCGGCCCTGCCATAAAGGACAATTCTGTGCTCTCAGTCTCTTCCCCCTCTATATGTCTCCAAGTCATGTGATTTTTGACAACAATTATGGTCTGTGTTGTGAGAATAGGAACAGGTTTGCCAAAGCACTGGCACTGGCTGCTTTCAGAGACTGGGAAAGTGCAAATCAAGCCTTAGTTTATGAACTTATCTGAACACACAAGAACAGCATATTGACACGGGTCTGAGATTTTTGAAAGCCTTCCTTGGCACTGATGGATGGCTGATTCTGTTCCTGTGCAAATGCTTTCTCTTAGTGTGATAAAGTCAGTTCCTTTTCTCCATCGTTCCTCCTTTGTAGCGAGGATTACATCTCCACACTCTAGCTGTTGGCATATAGCACTGGCTTTCTCAATATTCATGCCATTGTCACAAACAATGTTCCATTGACCATTAAGGAAAATTTCAACCTTTCCACTGCAGCGACTTTGTCCTTCTACCAGCCTGATTTCCAAGGGGCCTAAACCTGCAATCTCTGTTGAATCCTTCAGACCTGGGTGAAGCAAATTCAGGATAGTGGGTAAGAGGAGTGGTAAGTTGTCCTTTGTGCAATTATGTTGAAAGTAGCATCAGGATAGCTTAAAAGGGCATAACTATTAGCTTGCTGGGTAAGATCAGCCAGATAAGACCACCCACAGCCTCTAGATGCCATTAGCTGCTCACAAGCCCCACATAGCAGTGGTGACCATCCTATATTCTTTGTCTTAAATGCCCAGTATCCTGCCTCTGACTGTGGAGGTTACAATGAGCTATCCTGGCTGAAGTGTGTTGGTGGAGCCATTCCTCCATGCTAATGTACCTGCAGGACTGAGTGGGAGAAAAAGAAGTCAAACTGTTTAAAGGTCTTTCATATGCCAAAGAACCATATTTATCACTGGTGAAGCTTGGTAATTTCAGACCATGGACATACATCTGCCAACCCTTCTGCAATCAGTTGTGAATCACACAGTGTTTCTCTCCACTCACCCACCCCGCCCCTGCTATTCCATGCTCTACATCTGCTTCTACATTCCTGATATGCGAGAAGAACAAAACAAGCAAATGGCAGTTTCCCAACCCTGGTTGGGTTGACGGTGCTTCCAGATGACTTGTTTATTGAGCAGTGATGCTGATTGGTTTGAGGGAAAGCTGGATGACGTCTCAAACTACCCAGTGCATTCTCCCATTATTCTCCTTATGGCAAAAAGTCTGATCCTTTGGTGGCGGCAGTGGCGGCGGCGGCGGGGTGTGTGTTGTGGCACAAACTCTCCCACTCAGATTTAATTTCACAGCCTAAATTTGCCAGTATGTGGTTGAATCCAACCTGAAAAACCCAGGGACTGTCTGGCGGAGGCCGAAGTTTACTTTTTCTGCCAATAAGCATGTTTATTTTGGAATAAGCACCATTTTGGAATCAGTATGTGTGAAAATATATTTTAAAGAAATAATGAAATAAGCATCTGTTACCTTGTTTCAAGACGATTGGATGATTTCCTGACATATGTACACATACACATGGAATTTTTCTTCTGTTTTGACTTGTTATAGGTTTTTTAATCTTTTAAAGTATTCTATGGTTTCACTTTCCCTATTATTATGCTTTATTATGACTAATGTTAAGGGACGCGGGTGGTGCTGTGGGTTAAACCACAGAGCACAGGACTTCGTAGGACTCCCTCGGCCAATAAAGCGAGATGAGCTCCGCAACTCCAGAGTTGGCCACGACTGGACCTAATGGTCAGGGGTCCTTTACGTATGACTAATGTTGGGTTTTTCCTTTGTTTTTCAGAATTGTAATCTGCTTTGAGATGCCTTCTTAGCCACGAAGAGCAGGCTGTAAATATTTGAAATAAATCCTGATAATGTGAAAACCAACATGTAAGATCAATTCATAGTTTATGAACTCACCTGAGCACACAACACCTGCATCCTGCTCATGTCTGCAGTCATGTTCTCCCCATGGCATTTTGGGGCATTGATAGAGATTTGATTCTGTCCCTGTGCATCTGACATCATCCAGCCATATGGGGCCAGTGCCTCTTCCAAATTCTGCATTCTGTAGGGCTGATCCTGCATCTCCGCAGCCCAACTGCCGGCATACAACTCTGGCATCCTCAAGGTCCCAGTAGTGACCGCATACTGTGCCCCACTGGCCGTTATGCAGCAATTCAACTCTTCCCCTGCAGTGATTTGAACCATTCACCAGCCTGATTTCCACTCGACTTGAGTCTTCAGCATCTGAATCTAACGTCATGCCTGAGGAAAGCAAATTCCAGAGAGTGAGGTAGTACATGAGACAAGATGTAGTTCTCTTCTGCATGATCATTTTGAAAGCAGGACAGTGGATAAGATAAAGGGACAAGCCATAAGGCTAATTATAGTCCTTCTTCCTGTGAGGCAGGCTTTTTGCTTTGAGAATTCAGGCAGATTGAAGGGGTGACTTGGAAAAGTGGAAGAGAGGCTAGGGGAAAAGCAGTAATGTTTTTTATATTTGATTTAAGGGAGTAAATATGAATCAAAACAGAGGTGCAATATGTACTTCTCCTTGTTTATTTGTTTGTTTTGTAACACAAGAACATCTTTAATGAAAACTAATTTTTTAAAAAACAAAACATCAACCCTGGGGCTGTTTCTGACTGTTCTTGAGGTTAATTCCATATTGAAGAACTACAGTTTCTCCAAATTTAATGCTCCGAAGTGTAAAAACAAAAGTTATGACCAAAAGAGTGAATGGGAGTGAATGGCAGTTCTGAAGATTCGGAGTTCAGAATCTGAATTTGGATTGCCAAGCCTAGACTCCAACTGCATCAGTGGGCAGGGCTTGCATAGTGCTTGTATTTATTTACCACTTCAGAGAGCCAGCTGCCCCCTCATTCTCCTTTTACCTGTCAACAATACTTCCAAAAGAAAAAAAATCACCATCTAGAAAGTAGCTAGTAAATTAATCTTGGGAAGACTTGGTCACATCTGGGATTGACAATTTTATTACTGGTCTCGGATTTGGGGTTTTAAAAGCAATTGGTCATGTAGGCTTTGCGAGGTAATTATGCTTCTTTCCAGCCCATGAAAAGCTTCACTTGCAAGATCTTGCATATCAGGCTGGCCTAAAAGGCACAGGATTCATTCAGGATGCATTTATCTGGTCAATTGGCAACTCTAATGTACATGATAATGCACATGACAATGTAAAAAGCAAACAAAACAGGGCTTGACATAAGTGATCAACTTACCTGAGCAGACAACACCAGCATCTTCCTCATGTGTGCAGTCATGCTCTCCCCAATTGCTTGCAGGACACTGACTGAGTTCTGATTCTGTCCCTGAGCATCGGACCTCATCCAGCCAGATGGGTCCAGTTCCCCCCCAAAATTGTGCTTCAAGTGTGGCTGATATTGCAGGTCCACATCTTAGCTGTCGGCACACAACGGTGGCTTCCTCGATGCCCCAGTCGTCATCACAAATGGTGCCCCATTGGCCATTATGGAGAAATTCAACCATTCCATTGCAATGACTAGTACCGTTCACCAGCCTAATCTCCAGCTGTCCCGCTTCTGCAATAGATGAGTCCAGCACCACACCTGGGCAAACCCAAGTTCAGAGAACCAGTTAGCAAGTCAGATGAGATTTCTTCCCACCTATAACAATTTTTAAAATAGCACCAGGAAAGAAAAAGTGGAGGATAAAGGGCCGTGACTGTTGGCTATTTGCAGATTACCGTATTTTTCGCCCTATAAGGCGCACTGGCCCATAGGACGCACCTCGTTTTTTTGGGGGGGAAATGAATTTAAAAAAATTATTCCCCCCCCAGCCGCAGGGCTGGGGCGGGGGAAGCCCGAGCTTCCCCTGACCCCGGCCCCAGAACAGGCTGCTGCCACAAGCCTTGCGTGTCCGGCGGGACCTCCCCCCGGGAGTGCAAGGATTGCGGACACCTGCCCGAAGCACGGGGCGTCCTCCGGAGGGCGCCCCATGCTTTGGGCTGCAGGCTGCCGCCCCAAGCCTCGCGCACCCAGTGGGACCTCCCGCCGGGCGCGCAAGGCTTGCAGATAGCTTCCTGAAGCGTGGAGAGCGAGAGGGGTTGGTGCGCACCGACGCCTCTCGCTCTCCAGGCTTCAGCGAAAGCCTGCATTTGCCCCATAAGACGCACGCACATTTCCCCTTCATTTTTGGAGGGGAAAAAGTGCGTCCTATAGGGCGAAAAATACAGTAGTTGCGCTGCAGAGAGCTTGCTGGGGAGACCACACATTACAAGGAACTCAAAATAACTTTTGCTAGGTTTTAATAACAAAACCAAAAACTCCTTCTACATTATAATATAGCAATAAGCATGACCCATCCACCGACCCAACCACCAGGGTACTGAGAGAGCTCTTTATATACTATACCCAATTGCTGACACAGCTTAATTAACACAATTTAACAGCACCTGCTATACTGCTTCACAGCTGTAAAACTAGGTCACGTTATTTGCTCTGGCCCTTAAAGACATACACATCTTGTGGAACGATAATGAACCTTCAAATTTAAAGAAACCATTCAACAGTGACAACTGTCTTGCTGGCTGGAAAATATCTTTCTGTTTGTTTGTTTTTGTTTTGGGGAAAATTGGCAAAACAAACAAACAAAAGAGGAGGAAGAAGAAACAACAACAAGGGGGGGGGAATCTTCTGGTCCTGCATGTGGCTCTTTGCAATGATAAGCCAGACTTTTCCCCTCCACTGGTTGCACACACTCAACCTGGGTATAAAACATATTCCAGTGAGAATTAATTCGATTCCTTAAGTGCAATTTTTAAAAACTGTGGGAAACAACCAACAAGGATATTATGAGATGGAAACTGGAGGATTTCACTCTAATGGATAGACTAGCTCTAACCAAAATGGTTATCCTCACTAGATTGAACTATTCAGTCCTCCCCCCCCCCTGAAAAATAGGTGCTGGTACTCACCATGAAGTTGTTATACTAAGCGCCACACTTTGTAACAACAATAATAACAGAGGTGCCAGTACTGCGTACCTTTGGGTACCCCCTTAAAAAAAAAAAAAAAGAGCACTGGACTCATTTATTCCAAACGCTTCCAGTCTGGATTTTCCCTAAATGATTAGCCATTTGATGGAGAAGTCTTCATTCTTTTTCCTCAATAGAGACCCAGTACTGGGCAGAAATTTCTTCATTTTTCAGCTCAAGAGGGAGGGTGCTATTTTTGGAGCTATATCTCTAATTTAGGTGGCAGATTGTCAGGAACAAGTGCTGGGTTCACACAGAACTGGAAAGGTGGATAGCATTCCCTTTGATGGCTCCAAAAATAAATTTTGGACTAAACCACAATCTTTCAGTGTTGGCTCGGAAAAGCTGCTGTGCTAGTGCCTGCATTGTCTCCTTCAATCCCTTAGGCATTGCACCCCACTTTTTATCATAAATACCATGCTGATGGTGTCAGTGGGAGGTATGCCAAATAACTTTATCATTGATGTGATTTCTGTGACTAAATGCCGCTCCTGTTTCCAAGCAGGAGCTAAGACACAGATTAGGGGACACCCATTTACCATGTCGGTTGTGCTGCCAACTTCCATATTTGAAATAAAAAGGATCATATGGGAAGCCACCATCCACTGATTGTCGGATTTTTATGACTTAGTAAAATGTAGCATTTCATAAAATTTATGTACCACTTGGTTGGAAAACAAATCAAATAACAGTTTAAAAAGCAACTAGGATTCGGGAAAGTGTTTTATCTTTTTGAACACTGGTGTGTGTGTGTGTGTGTGTGCGCGCGCGCATGTGTGTTTTTATTGGACAGGGCCTCTGTGGAAACTACAATAAACTTTTCCTCCCTAGCTACAGTTTCTAGGAAAATCACTCACCCTCACCTCAACTAGGCTTGAGGAAACTGTGTCATCTATACTGTCAATGTTCCTGTGGCTTCAGCTGGTATCTTTGAGATTGCCAGCACCACCCATTGATTCAAATCAACTCTCCTGTATCATCTTTTCTCTAAGGGGTACAGCCCATAGCTGGGTTACTGCTAGGTGCTTTAAATCATCTATATTTTTACTGCCACTACATATACAAAGCTCCTGAATGATGACTACCTCTAGCACAGCTAGTCAATTATTATTACTATGATTATAATTATTAATTAAAATTCTATACCACCCTTCATCTGAAGATCACAGGGTGGTCTACAATATAAAAGCAAAGTATAAGGGTAAAGGTAAAGGGGTGATTCACTCTCATGAAACCTCCATGTTGTCCAGGGGATTTCAATAAAGTGTGAAGCAACCTCGTGAAGGAAGGTCCCATGAACAAAAAGGCATCACATAAATTAAAGACTCAGAACACGCCCAAGGGTATGGGGTTCTTCACAGATTACCCTTAACACTTGTGCACAAACACTCTATACAAGTATGACTGTGTGAAAGAGTATGCATGTATTCATCTTCTAAATATCCATATATTTAAATCTTGTATCTTGTACCAATTTCTTGGCAGAACTGGATATAAAGGTAAAGGTAAAGGGACCCCTGACCATTAGGTCCAGTCGTGGCCAACTCTGGGGTTGCGGCGCTCATCTTGCTTTATTGGCCGAGGGAGCTGGCGTACAGCTTCTGGGTCATGTGGCCAGCATGACTAAGCCACTTCTGGTGAACCAGAGCAGCGCACGGAAATGCCGTTTACCTTCCCGCCAGAGTGGTACCTATTTATCTACTTGCACTTTGACGTGCTTTCGAACTGCTAGGTTGGCAGGAGCAGGGACCAAGCAACGGGAGCTCACCCCGTTGCGTGGATTCGAACTGCCGACCTTCTGATCGGCAAGTCCTAGGCTCTGTGGTTTAACCCGCAGCGCCACTCACACCCCCCAAGTTCCAGTGTACACACAGGTAATTTGGGGGTCCTGAGGCTGGATCCTGTATACAAGGAAATGGGGACAAAAATCTCAATAGAGTTAAGGTGAATCAGTTGGAAAAACTCTATATATGTTAATGGTGGATTATTTGAGATGATGTGTGAACTGTTATCTCTGCTACGTACTTCACAAACTAACACCTGTTTGGAAAAAGGCTAGTTGCAGCTCCAGCATCTCACTCACAACCTTTTCTCAATTGCAGATCCAGACCTAGCCAGACCCACCATCTCCCTGAGTCCTAGAGGGCCACTTCCTCTGGGGGGAAACCCACAGCGCCACCTGCGTCCCAAAGCAAAAAATACATACCATAATAACAGACAAAAATAATACCCCCCCCCAGTATTCAACTCTCTTTCAAAACTCCTATCCAATCGCCACTCACTTCCAACATCACAATCACACAATTTCCCCCTGATTGACCTAATATACTTGCCTACACATTTTGCACAATACATACCATCACATACAAGTTTACCATAATCAGTAGTTGTACAATAGCATGAACACATACAGCAGAACCTCATACATGGCAAAGGGGGAGCTGTTGGGGATTGAAGAGTCACTGGGGACCAAGGCATGTCTGAAAGCAGCCTAAAGCCCACAGAGGGCACCCAGCCCATCATTTGAGAAACAGTGGTCTATATTTTACTTGGGTTTGCCTACATAAGTCATGGAATTGATGTCAAATATGAACAATGTCACCCTCCTGGTTCAGTTCCTGACCCACATAAAGAGTCTCCCCACTTTCTCTTCCTTGCTGCTGCTCCTGTCTATCAACTCTTTAGAATGTGCTCCTTCCCAGCTCTGGCTGGAAAACTGGAAGAAATCTTCAGCCAGGGTTGGAAATATCAGGAGAACAAAGAATGCAAAAGCTGGAGAATACCCAACACTCATTTTGGGTGCTTTATGGTGTTAAGTTGCAAATATACAAAGACTAATCAGAGCTAAAACTAGATAAGAGTTCCCTCTCTCCACAAGAGTGTAGAGCCTGGGAGAGACTGTGGAAAGAGGCCCTAAAATGCTCCATTTGCTTTCAACCTCCACTGGAACGACCTGCTTCATTACTTTCCCCTAGGTATGGTAGCAATGGCACAAAATTTGGAAGGAAGTAAGCACTCAGAACTGTGTTTGGAAGCAAGCATCTGCTCTGGCAGGAGCCGACAGATATGCCAAACCTATAAAGGTCGAGCAGAGGGAAAGCTGGGTGGAGCTGCAGAACCAGTTATGTCAGAAAAACAGCCTTGGGAGAAAGGGAGGCCATGGCACCAAGCTCCTGTTTTGTCCCATCCCACTACCCTCCCAAATTAATATTCTCTTATCTGCTGATACTCAACTCCAAGTACTTGTCTCTGACCAGGCAGCCACCATTCTGGAAAGGAGAGGATTCTATTAATAAAAAGGTATCTGAACAGCAGGAACCAAAGCTGGGTCTCTGGTCCTCCCACCCAGCCACTGCACTGATCATCAGTGATACTAACCCAGGAAGAAAATGCTGAAAGAGAACTTCATGCTGAAAGACCATTCAGCCCAGTAGCCAGGGGTGTCCTTTTCTAATGTCCCATGAAGGAAGATCTCCTCTGGAGGCTGCAGCAACTGAACTATCACACTTGCCTGCAGCATAGCTGTTTCCTTTCATATATCATTTCCTTTGATCTGAGGGGATGGTTTACCTTTTTAACCAACCAGCACCACATGACAAAAACTTCTCTTATCAGTGTGCAGTCACTGCATGCAAGAAGTAGGAGCCCACACAGGGACATATTTTTCATGTTGTGAGTGTTTAGCCTGGACTATGTGAACATGCGTTTTTTGATGCCTCCTCAAGCAGATTATTGGATCCTTAGGAGCACTGCTATGGTGAATGAGACTGAATCTCACTTTAATATTTTTAAGCTGGGGTGGGGGGGTGGAGTGGGGGGTGGATCTGGATTCTGTCTCATGTTAAACCTCCAAGGTATACTTTTCCAGGATATGCAGAATCACCTAGTTACCACACCAACATGCGTCAGACCAACATGGCTACCTACCTGAATCTTAGTGTATCCAGTCACAGAACAAAGCAGCTGATGAGTTTGTGAGCTCCTGGAACTTTGAAGAAGATATCATCCTTCCAGTAGCCTGGTTCAAAGAACATGCCAAGCCCAAACTTGACTTAGCCGGTAAAGGTAAAGGAACCCTGGATTAAGTCCAGTCAAAGGTGACTATGGGGTTCCGGAACTCATCTCACTTTCAGGCCAAGGGAGACGGTGTTTGTCCACAGAGAGCTTTCCGGGTCATGTGGCCAGAATGACTAAACCGCTTTTGGCGCAACGGGACACAGTGATGGAAACCAGAGTGCACGGAAACACCATTTACCTACCTGCCACAGCAGTACCCATTTATCTACTTAGAATAGAATCATAGAATCATAGAGTTGGAATAGACAACAAGGGCCATCGAGTCCAACCCCCTGCCAAGCAGGAAACACCATCAGAGCACTCCCGACATATGGTTGTCAAGCCTCCGCTTAAAGACCTCCAAAGAAGGAGACTCCACCACACTCCTTGGCAGCAAATTCCACTGTCGAACAGCTCTTACTGTCAGGAAGTTCTTCCTAATGTTTAGGTGGAATCTTCTTTCTTGTAGTTTGGATCCATTGCTCCGTGTCCGCTTCTCTGGAACAGCAGAAAACAACATTTCTCCCTCCTCTATATGACATCCTTTTATATATTTGAACATGGCTATCATATCACCCCTTAACCTCCTCTTCTCCAGGCTAAACATGCCCAGCTCCCTTAGCCGTTCCTCATAAGGCATCGTTTCCATGCCTTTGACCATTTTGGTTGCCCTCCTCTGGACACGTTCCAGTTTGTCAGTGTCCTTCTTGAACTGTGGTGCCCAGAACTGGACACAGTACTCCAGGTGAGGTCTGACCAGAGCAGAATACAGTCGCACTATTACTTCCCTTGATCTAGATGCTATACTCCTATTGATGCAGCCCAGAATTGCATTGGCCTTTTTAGCTGCCGCGTCACACTGTTGGCTCATGTCAAGTTTGTGGTCAACCAAGACTCCTAGATCCTTTTCACATGTACTGCTCTCAAGCCAGGTGTCACCCATCTTGTATTTGTGCCTCTCATTTTTTTTGCCCAAGTGCAATACTTTACATTTCTCCCTGTTAAAGTTCATCTTGTTTGTTTTGGCCCAGTTCTCTAATCTGTCAAGGTCGTTTTGAAGTGTGATCCTGTCCTCTGGGGTGTTAGCCACCCCTTCCAGTTTGGTGTCATCTGCAAATTTGATCAGGATGCCCTTGAGTCCATCATCCAAGTCATTGATAAAGATGTTGAATAAGACCGGGCCCAAGACAGAACCCTGTGGCACCCCACTAGTCACTCTTCTCCAGGATGAAGAGGAACCATTGATGAGCACCCTTTGGGTTCGGTCAGTCAGCCAGTTACAAATCCACTGAGTGGTAGCATAGTCAAGACCGCATTTTACCAGCTTCTTTACAAGAATATCATGGGGCACCTTGTCGAATGCCTTGCTGAAATCAAGGTAGGCTACATCCACTGCGTTCCCTTCATCTACCAGCCTTGTAATTCTGTCAAAAAACGAGATCTGGTTAGTCTGACATGACTTATTTTTCAGAAATCCATGCTGACTATTGGTGATCACAGCATTCCTTTCTAGGTGCTCACAGACTGTTTGCTTAATGATCTGCTCCAGAATCTTCCCTGGTATTGATGTCAGACTGACTGGGCGATAATTATTTGGGTCCTCTCTTTTCCCCTTTTTGAAAATAGGGACAACATTTGCCCTCCTCCAGTCTGCCGGGACTTCGCCTGTTCTCCAGGAATTCTCAAAGATGACTGCCAGTGGTTCTGAGATCACACCTGCCAGTTCTTTTAATACTCTTGGATGCAGTTCATCTGGCCGTGGAGACTTTAATACATCTAAACTAGCCAAGTATTCTTGTACTATCTCCTTAGTTATTCTGGGCTGTGTTTCCTCTGCTGAATCATTTGCTCCAAATTCTTCAGGTCGGGCATTGTTTTCTTTATCGGAGAAGACTGAGGCAAAGAAGGCATTGAGGAGTTCAGCCCTTTCTGTGTCCCCTGTTTGCATTTCACCATCTTCTCCTCTGAGTGACCCCACTGTTTCTTTGTTCTTCCTTTTGCTACGGACATACCCATAAAAGCCTTTTTTGTTGCTTTTAACCTCTCTAGCAAGCCTGAGTTCATTCTGTGCTTTAGCTTTTCTGACTTTGTATCTACATGTGCTGGCTATTTGTTTGAATTCCTCTTTGGTGGTTTCCCCCCTTTTCCATTTTTTTGTACACATCCTTTTTTAATCTTAACTCAGTTAAAAGTTCTTTAGATAGCCACCCTGGCTTCTTTAGGCACCTTCCATGTTTCCGTCTCATTGGTATTGCCTGAAGTTGTGCTTTTACTATCTCCCTCTTAACAAACTCCCAGCCATCATGAACTCCCTTTCCTTTTAGTATTACTGTCCATGGGATCTCACCCAGCACTTCCCTAAGTTTTATGAAGTAGGCTTTCTTAAAGTCAAGAAATTGAGTCCTAGTATGCTTGGCTGCTCCTTTCCTTCAGAAGAGCATGATCACTCGCGCCTAATGATCCTTCCACTTCTACCCCACTAACCAGGTCCTCAACATTGGTTAGGACCAGATCTAAAATGGCTGTTCCTCTTGTTGCTTCTCCCACTTTCTGGACAATGAAGTTGTCTGCAAGGCCAGTGAGGAATCTGTTTGACCTTATGCTCTTGGCTGAGTTTGACATCCAACAAATATCTGGGTAATTGAAGTCCCCTATTACTACTATCTCCCTTCCTTTTGCATGCTTGGCCATCTGTTCCAGGAAGGCATCATCTATGTCCTCCGTTTGGCTTGGGGATCTATAGTAAACTCCCACAATGAGGTCTCTGTTATTCTTCTCTCCCTTAATTTTGACCCAAATGCTCTCACTTTGGCTTTGAGGTTCTAAATCTTGGATCTCTTCACAGGTATACACATCCCTGACATATAACGCCACTCCTCCACCTTTCTTGTCTGGTCTGTTTCTCTGAAATAGATTGTATCCCTCCATTATTACATTCCAATTGTGGGACCTATCCCACCAGGTTTCAGTGATGCCTATTATGTCATATTTAGTTTGCTGTACCAAGAGCTCAAGCTCATCTTGTTTATTTCCCATGCTTTGCGCATTAGTGTACAGACATTGAAGTCCATTAATCATTCCCCCGTGTCTCTTATTTAAGGATTTTTTCCTCCCACCACTAGGTCTGCGTGCTGTTTGCTCCATTTGGTCTATGACATTTGGATGATCATCTTCATCAATTGATAGACTCCTAACTTCAGGAGCACTGTCTCCCTCCCCCACATTAGTCAGTTTAAAGCCCTCCTGATGAGGTTTCTGAGATTTTTGGCAAAAACATTCCTCCCAACCGTTGTGAGGTGCAGCCCATCGCTTGCCAGAAGTTCATCTTCAAGAAACTGCAGTCCGTGATCTAAGAATCCAAAACGTTCCTGTTTACACCATTTGCGAAGCCAGCTGTTCACTTCCACTATTTTTTCCTCTCTCCCTGGGCCACGTCGTTCAACTGGGAGGACAGATGAGATGACTTGCACTGGTGTGCTTTCGAACTGCTAGGTTGGCAGGAGCTGGGAAAGAGTAATGGGAGTTGACCCCGTCGTGCAGATTCGAACCGCTGACCTTCTGATCATCAAGCCCAAGAGGCTCAGTGGTTTAGACCACAACGCCATATAAACATGATAAGTGAGTGCCCTGATAAGGCTGCTAAGCAATGGCAACAGATTTAGGAGATACAGGAGCAAGAACAGCAGCTTCACCCTTCAACTTCCTCTTCTACTTTTAACTGCTTACTTAAATCATTTCTGTGTAGACTTGCTGAAACAAACAAAAATTACAATGTGATAACTATATCCCTGAAATCTTCAGCTGTGTCATGGAGATCAGAAAAAAAGATAATCATCTGAAACATACATCAGAGGCATTACTTCATGGCTGACATTTATTATGAATTATTTTAATTAGAGAACCCCTTTTGGATTGTTTGTGTGAAAAGCAAAAAAAATGAATTTGAGACATTTGTGTCTGAAGATTGGGAAAACATTACTTAACAGAAAGCAGAACAGTTGGATATCACACTAGCAGGAATGTTTTGAATAATTTCTTTTATGTAACTGACAGACGGAAAATCAGAAATCCCCTTTTATTCTCCTTTTCTTGGCTTTTTTCCTTTCTTCTCTTTTATTTTTTCTTTTCCCCCTTTGGTGTCCTCTGCTCTGGGTCATTATTGGGGTCCAAGGATTAGACACACATGGTTGGTGAAGGACCTTGAGTGAGAGGCAGGGAAGGGAAATCCCCCAGGGTGAGAGACAGGGAGAAGAAGGAAAAACTCTAGGTGAGAACTAGGAGAGCCCACCACTTTCTGTGTGTGACAAGGTTTAAAAACTACCTTTGAGAGAGGACTCTGCATTTTATTTTATTTTCCCTGTTTTTGTTTTCATCTAGATTAATTTCTTTTATCCTATTGTATTATGAAAAGGCTTCAATAAAATCTTCAGAAAAAGCACAAAGCTAGTTTTTGACAAAAAGACT